TTTGACAACAAAATGTAAGTTTGTCAACAGTGTGTATCCTTGTCATTCTCTACACAGAATGAAAAGGAGAGACTGAAGTTAAGTTTAGTTTTAAGTTTAGAGAATCATGCCAGGATCGATACCAATGTCGTTTTGTCGAGATATGCTTAAAATACAGGATACAATAACACAAACTGAATTGTAGCACAATGAGTTATCATTTTGAAGTCAACAAATCAACTCAAAACTACCATAATAGTATTCCAATAGGCTTTCCCATCAGTATACTTTTTTTAATCATCTAAATCGGTCCATCCGTTGTGAGTTTAAAACTATTTTTATAAAGCCAATATTTATCGACGGGCGGGATGTACGGCCAGAGCGTATGAAGTCACAGAGCTCGAACCGCTCGAAGTCGCGCTATACTTGCCCTATACCCACAAGCCACCATTCACTACAAAGCGCTCAATGCGGCTGGGTTATCTCGTTTGTTGTTAAATTAAAAGTAGTGTATTATGCATCTAATGATTCAGTAAAGAAACCAAAAAATTTTTTAAAGCTTTTAACTAACTTGAAATGTGCGTACAGTACCAGGCCATTTAGAAGTCGCATCGTGCTTTAGAAAGAGATACTCAGCTAGTCGTCTTTGTAGAGCGTCATCTCTGTCACACCAAACACTAACAGTACGGTATCTATTATGAGCTACTAAAACTTATTTATATTTTTTTACAAATCAAAACAAAGATAAAACATGTAGGTAAAAGGCAACATACTCGTACATGTACCATGTATGTTAATTTATTTATTTAAATGAAAAATTATAATTTTTATTTCCAATCCAATAACAAAATACAAAACACTAATAGATATGAGAAGCCTCTCCGTGTCATTTTAATAATCAGATTCTAAATTCTCAGTTCCTTCCATATCATATCATGCTGCATATCTAGACGGGGTCGAGGACCCGATAAGGAAAAATTTTGGTCGTACGTCAAGGTTCTCCGCGGTGGTAAATCTAACATTCCTGGTGAAATGCATCTCAACACAGCTTCAGCTTGTACCGGTAACAACACACTTCTCCTCAGTCTATACTCGGAAACTAGTCTCCGTACCCAGTAATTTAGTCAAAGATAGTGACTATACCCAGCTATCTCCCAGTAATTTTGCTATATCCGAACGTATAATCACCATGATCTTATCCAAAGTTTACTAGAGTAAAAGAGCAGGTACTGACGGCGTTCCGCCATTATTCCTTAAAATAACCGTATGTATTTAGCATAGCGTTGTCACTAAAAATTATACTAGCTAAATCCATTGCTACTGGAGTTTTTCCGGATTTGCTTAAGGAGGCTTATATCATTCCAATCTTCAAAAAAGGTCAAAATAATAACGTTAAAATCTACCGCCCAATATCTATTCAGTATCAAAGTTATTTGAAAAAATATATCTGCCCATTTTTAACTTTCTATTTTAAAAACATCATTCATGTGAACCAGCACGGATTCTGAAAAAATAAATCAGCAGCAACCAATCTTAATTTCGCATGTCAACGCACTAACGAAATCAAACGATTCTGGCGTAGAAAAAGATTTTATTTATACAGATATTAGCAGTGCGTTTGACAAGGTTGACCACAACATACGGTTTATAAAACTGAAGCATTACGGAATTCATGGACACCTACTGTTATGGCTCCGTTCTTACTTAGAGCATCGGTTGTTAAGGGTAGTTGTGAACGGCTACAAACTGAAACCATTCCTCACCTCGTCAGGAGTCTCCTAGAGTACGATATTGGGACTAATTCTGTTTCTTGTATTCATTAACGATATCCCTGACAAAATCCGTTATAGCAGCTGCTGTTTTTTTCCGACGATTTATAGTTGTATCGATCAATCAAAAACGAGCACGATACTTTTGCTACAAAAAGACCTAGACTCGGTATCGGAATGATGCGTATGACTCTTAACGTAAGTAAATGTCTGTTTAGAAAATTTACCAGAAAGACAAAAAACATTAAGGCACAGCTAACCGAAGTGGGTTCGTCTCTGAATCTGGGCATTGTAATTGACAAAAAGCTCGGATTCCTTGTACACATTCACGTTATTGTTGCAAAGGCATTAAAAATGTTTGGTTTCTTGAAACGCCTGTTTAAGAATTTCCATAACACTGCAACCATTTTATGCTTGTATAAAACTTTGATTCAAAGTATACTAGAATACAGTACCCAATTCTGGAATCCGCAATATCGAGTCCACATTGATAGAATCGAGAGAATTCAACACAATTTTACGAGGTTTCTAGCTTTCAAAGACAGGAAGTGTCCTTATCGTGCGGATTACCAAACTCGTCTCAAATACTTTAATCTTCATACCTTAGAAAAACGTAGGAAAACTGCGGACATTTTATTTCTGCACAAATTATTTCACTGCAATATTGTTGCGCAAGACCTTCTTGCGGATATTAAGTTAAAGGTTTCCAGAAAAATCCCCCGCTAACCTATTGAATCATTCGTTAACTGCCACCAAACAAATTAGCTTCACCGTTTAACAGATTTAATAATGCATACAACTATAGATAATAATATAATAATAATAATTTATTTCCAGTAAGAGTTGATTTACAATTTAACTTATAAGGCTAAAATAGTACTAATATCTCTAACATAATAGGCTAGTTTACTCATGTCGAATTGTATTAAATAAATGTTTATTTCTTAAAGTATTTGGTGTAAGGAACCTAAATATATCGATTTCACTTCATAAAAGCAGAAGATTGCTGTAGAAATTTCATTTAAAAAAATATTTTTTAGTCTATATTTTTTAAACACTTAAAAACGCTGTTCGCTACTTCCGCCATGATTTTGACGTCTCTTGTGGTAAACAACTAAATGTCATTCGCGTGTTACTTTACTGTAGGTGGATTCTTTCGTCTAAATTTATTTATCTTAAAACACTTTTAACTTTAGGAAAGAAAAACAGTAAACTTAGTTTTTTTTTTGACAAAACTAATTATGGTTGCCGGCGTTGTGAAAGCAGAAAGCACAAATTTGCCAAGAATTGACGCATTGATGGTTGGTGAATTTGTTGCACTAAACCCCGATTTCTGCTCTGCGGAGCAGAGAAACGACAAGGCATCTATGTAAGTACAGTGCATTTAGTATTACAATGTAGTAATAAACATAAAACTGATACAACATATGAATAAGTGTAATAAAGTTGCGTAGGTTAATTTCTTTCGGCACTTTTATCCACAACTTTCCTGGAGTCTTCAAGGATGTGTTTTTATATTCTCGTACAATACAGTAATGATAATTACTTTATTTTTCGTGGTATTTATTAGAAATCATGTTTTTTTTTATAAACTCAGTATTAAGTAATTTTCTACGTGTTTACGAGTTTTTGTTTACCACAGTTCACGTCTTAGCATAGATAATCTATAGACTGAAATGGCCGACAGCGTTATTGTATGTCCATGAAAAGTCTATTTTAAAATTAAAGATTTGTAGCTTTCTAGGTTTAAAAAAAATACAATACATTTTTTTTCGGTATAATAGAACATTTATTAACCATTTAAAACCTTTTTCGAAAAAGGGTCAACTAGCCTATTACATATTTATCTGCTGCCGAGCTAGGCAAAACGCCTGTATTACGGCATACAGCTCCAATCGCCTTAGCACATATGGCATCATAAATCCATTACATTCAAAATTAAATGGTGTTGACATCTTTCACGCTCCACGCAAAGCCCTCAAAAATTATTTGTATGGTAACGTTTAAACTGAACAGTAATTTAATACTGTTACAAATATAAGTACCTACCTACATATAGTAAATATTTTACATGCCTGCAATGGCAATTCACACGGTCGAGTACTACCTGCATCTTTAACTCGTTATTGAAATATGTGAAATTGTCGATAGCATGTCAAATAAATAATATTAAAAAAAAACGAGCGATTCAAATGTGACACACCATACGCGACTACTGTACGGCTCACTGGTTTTTTTTATGTGTAACATCGTTTCTCTCGCTTTCCTGCAATTTGTGGGAGTGATTTCATGAAATGGGACGGAAGTGTGTGACAGGAAGTCGCGAAAGCGCGCACTATTTGATTTGATTTTAGAACATAATGTACAAATTTTTATTATTTTCTTTGTGTGACGTGACTTTGAAGTGTGCGTTTATCAACAACACGCTCGAGTTTGTTGATAAACGCACACTTCGTTCATTTGTTTGTACATATTTTCGTTAGTGTGCTGTGTGTGTACCTCTTCTTCTTTTTCTTTTTTTATGGCATGCACGGTTTGTGCGTTCAGCCAATGTCAAGTAAAAATTAAGGAAACAGTATAGGAAAAAAGGAATCGGAAATATTACGAAATTTGCAAAGGATCACAAAATAGAAAATATACATATTTACATTTAAAGTTTTATATTGTTGAGCAAAAGGAAAGATATAATACATTTATACACAGATAGATCATTAGTATGTAGAAGTGTAGTCGGGAATGGTATATGAAGTGATGATAAAGTCATTAAAAAGTAAGGATCTATGGAACAGAGGACAGGAAATCACAATATGATCAACATTGCCCTCATCGAACCCGCAGTCATGTGACTGCTGGATGAGTTCCAGGATTATTTATTATAATGAGATTGGCAAGATGGGAAGGCACAGACGAATGGCCCAATCTCATTCTATTAATCATGGACGTCTCCGTCTTACCAAACTTCATGTATGTACCTCGTCCCCCACAAAAGCAGCGGTTTTTTTTTGAACGGTATGGTTCCTCCTTTGGTTTAAGCGCTAAGGCGTTTTTTCATTCGTCCTAGGACATTGGTGGCGATTTTGGCATTATTCTCTAAACTTAAAACTAAATTTAACTTCAGTCTCTCCTTTTCATTCCATATTGAGAATGACAAAGACACACTGTTGTCTTAGAAAATCATGCCTTGCCTATCCATTGCCAATAAAAAAAAACAACATTGACATTGACGCCATGACGTGACATTTGACAATGACATTTTACGAAATAATGTGATTGTGATCGTTTTTATCACTTCAGTGATCCCTTAATTTGTTTAACCAAAGACCAGTTTTTTTATTTGATTTGCGTAGTAGACAGACGTATACAATAAATTAGCGGATATAAATTACATAAGCGGTGTATAAAACTGTGCATTACTACTTAACTGTTTACTAAATCGTCCCGACATGCACTTGTTTTATTTTGTAATTTACTGCCCGTAAAAATAGCGAATCATTATGATGTTACAATAATTTAATGACCTGTTTCTGTGATAAACGAAATGAGTACCTCTTCACAAACGTTGACAAAGTGTCTGATAGAAACTGCAGATGGGCCTATTTATGGATTTCAAGACGTAAGAGAAGATGGCACATATTATAAATTTAAGAAAATTCCGTATGCCAAGCCGCCATTAGGAGCATTAAGATTTAGAGTAAGTTGATAACGATATTACACTATTTACTAAATAAAAAATCTTCATTGTATTGCAATATATACTCTTAATTAGAGAATTAATTGTTTATTAAATATAACACAATAGTCCTGCATAAATTAACTTGTAAAGTTAAAAAAGTAATAAATTACAGTGATGTCAATGTGAATCAATTTAATCAATTATGCATGCAATAAAAATAATCAAAACTTTTAATAAAAAGTGACACCTAGTATTACATTGGACAGTGACAAAGTTTAATCACTATGAAGTTGTATAAAAGTTTGGTAGATAATTTAAATATTGTATAAAATTAAGAACAGTAAAGTAAAAAAGGTCAAATTAGTACAGGTATCCCAATTGCTTTTGATACTAAAATGTTTATTTTAGCCACCATCTGCTGTAACACCATGGAAAGAAGTACTTGACTGCACACAAGATGCAGATTTACCTATACACTCAAAGGATGGTGAAATATGTGGGTCTGAAGATTGTCTTTACATTGAAATCTCAACAAAAAGTATCAAACGAGACAAACCACTGCCAGTAATGTTTTGGATTGGAACATACTTGTTTTCAATAAACATAGATAACTACTTTGATCCGTCATTATTGAATGACCATGATGTTATATTTGTTAGATGCGGGTTTAGACTTGGACCGTTAGGATTTCTTTCTATAAATGAGTTCACTGCACCAGGTAACAGTGGCTTGAAAGACCTAGTGATGGCATTAAAATGGATTCAAAGAAATATAGATAGATTCGGGGGTGATCCCAATAATGTCACAATATTTGGAAGTAGCACAGGTGGCTCAGCTGTTCATTTACTTATGATGTCTCCTATGGCATCAGGCCTGTTCCACAAAGCTATCATACAAAGCTCTAGTGTTTTAAATAATTGGTCATTAACAAAGAATCCTTCTTTAGCGGTAATGGAATTATCTAAAAAGCTTGGTGTAACAAAACTAAATGTGCTAGAAATGGTTGAAGAGCTAAGACTGTTTAGTGCTGAAGATATTATAAAGGCAACAGAAAGCTTGCAAGAAAAATTGATGGGTTCAGACCAAGGCAACATTTTTGATTGCATTTTCAAGCCATGTATAGAAGATGACTTAGAAGGTTTGGCAGCCTTCCTCCCAAAAAGTCCAATATTGATCTTGAAATCTGGCAATTTTAATAAAGTCCCTTTAATTATTGGATCTAATAATATAGAAGGTTCTGTTTTAGAATACCTAGACAAAGATTTCTTTTCAAATTGTAAAATTTATGAAGAAGATGTTGGTTGTTTAGTGCCAAGGTCACTGTCTTGTAATCCAAAATATTCAAAAGACATTGGTCAAAAATTATTCAATTTTTATTTAGGAGAAGATCATACTTGTGAAAATATCAAAACCCAATATTTACAATTGATCAGTGATTATTATTTCTTATACTATGTGAACAAAACTGTTAGGCTCCATAGTGAGTTTGCCCCTGAGTGCCCTGTATTTTATTATATAGTTAATTGTGCAGGTGAATGGTCTGTACCAAAAGAGCTCAATTTTTTAAGTAATTTGGGACACAGTGCTGAAATCCCATTCATCTTTCGCATTAGAACAACAGACTCTCCAAGTAATCCTGAGATATGCAAGGGCTCAAGAGACTCTATAGTGACAAGGAGCAGAGTTGTAAAAATGTGGACGAATTTCGCTAAATTTGGGTATGGTCACACAATTGAAGTTTATCTAGCTTATTTATTTTGAAAAAAAAAATTCTTTACATTTAAACATCTAGCAGTTAAATGCAAAAAAAATATAATAACTTAACCTTAATAACTGCGATGAATCTGCTTATGTAATATATATTCTTGTAAATTCTATTTTATTTAATAATTCCATTTAATTGTTTTAAGATTTGTGTAAATAATAATCACCCTATTACCTAAGTATAAGCTTGTTTTTCAACGTAGCCCTTCATTATTCACATATTGTAAAATAGTTAAAATTATTCTTTATTTTTAAAACATGACATCTTAATCACATTAATATTCAGGAATTGTCACTAAGCAAGGTAATTATTTTACGATTCTAATCACATTTCAGAAATCCTACACCAGAAGAAGATGACCCACTACTGGAAATTAAATGGGACTCTGTTGACAACAAAGAAAAGTTAAACTATCTTAGTATAGGGACAGAACTTACTAAAGGCAGGAATCCATTCCATGAAAGAATGATTTTTTGGGAACAACTTCATAAAGACTTTACTTTTTTAAGAATGTTGGTTTATTTTAATGATATAGGAGTTGTTTGGTAAGGGGAATAAATGTATATATTTACAATTGTTTACCCTGGTTTTTTTTTCGCTTTGATCTTTCCTTTTCAGGCTTGGCTGTTGATTTATATTACTTTAATTAAGGACTTGATATACTTCCGTTTAGTGTTCTTCCGTCCGTAGTCGAGAAGCATGATGACACAAGTGATGAACGCGTTCAGTCTGCTATTGTGGAAGTTGAACAACTTTCGCAATGGCCCGTTAAAGGATGGGTGACCAAAAGTTTACTATATTGAGCCCCACAATCATGGTGGTTCTGGCTGCATCTGTAGTTATTAGCCCACCAACCGCACTGAACCAAATCCGTATATTCCCAGTCGCCCCTGCGAGGATTGCCACCGGAGGGAAATGGGAATAAAACAAAAAACGAGGAACCTTACAGTAGTCGCGTATGATGTGTAGTGTACATCAACCTCACCTTATATTAGTAAATAAAGAAATAAAACCTACTACAAAAGGAATAAGCCATTTGAACAATGTTCTAAAATCAAATCAAATAACGCGCGCTTCCCAAACTTCCTGTTACACACTTCCGTCCCACTTCACGTAATCAATCCCACAAATTGCACGAAAGCGAGAGGAAAGATGTTACACATCAAAAAACTAAGTTGGGGCAATGACTTTATTCCCATTTGCCTCGGGTAGAAATCCCGGTGGGAGCGACTGAGAATAAACGTTCAGTTTTTTTATTCCCATTTGCCTCCGATGGCAATCTCTGTGAAGGCGACGGAATAAACGACCAAATCTATTACATCCCCAAAATATGGCCTATGCTCCAGCAATGGCATTAATATGATGATACTCTTTGTCAGAGAAACGAACTAGTACTTACCGTCTTTTCTGTCATTGGCCGTAATGTCGACGCTAGCCGGGTTGTCGTTCGTTAAGCACGCCGGCAAACTTCTTGAGTATCGACCATAGAAAAGCAAAACCTGCGCAGTAGCAATTTTACATACAAAGACGATCGAAGACGAAAGTTTGTCTGTGGTTTTGCTCAAGAAGTTTGCGCTACCTTTACTAGGGGCAGCCGCCTTTCTCCTGCAACGCAGTTTTCCATCCTCGTCTTTTGTAAGCGTTTATTTAATAAAGAAAGCGCTCCACTTGTTTTCGTGAATAAATAATAGTTTCTAGTTTTCCATCCTGGTCTTTTGTAAGCGATTGTCTAATAAAGAAAGCACTCCACTTGTTTTCGTGAATGAAGAATAAATTATAGCAACGCTGGCACATGACATGGCTATTCATATTTTGCTATTAGTAAACTTGTCAAAAGGATTTTCTTATAGGAATACTCTCTTTAAGGAATGAAAAGGAGAAACTACTGTCAAATTTAGGAATAGTAAATACGACTGTCAACCCTTACGCCATACATCATCATCAACATCTCCATAAACAACGTAGTACATTGCCATATCGTCAATATTTTGTAGAAAGGGTGAATAAGCCATTTTTCGGCAAAATAGTTTTATGGTAACAGTTTTGTACGTCTATTTAGACGGATCTGTATTAACGCGAAAGTTTATAGCCCTCAGAACCATGAAAAATCAATGTGTGTAATGGCGAATATCACTTGTTACGGATAAAGGGCACACGTGGAATTTTGCGCCTTTACAATTTTCATCATCTTATAGTTTTCGAAAAATGGCTTATTCGCCCTTTCTACAAAACATTGGAGATATGTTTGCGTTTCGCGTCTTTTCGCCGCGTTTAAAATTAAAAACCTTTAACGTAGGACGCGCTATGAGAAGCCAAGCCGCAATGGCCCCTCGCCTCGAACAAACCTTATTACTTAAAACTTTATTATTTTCATGCTAACATTTCACATGGTTATTCATAATTTTGCAAACAGTATATCCTTAAGTAAAATACTTTCATTCTTTCGCCCGCCTGTTAAGGATCCGTATCATCAGCAATAATGGAAAAAAGATATTTTACCCAATCAAAAAGTGTTATTTTAAATGATTGGTGTTGGTAAATATAGCTGCATATCATTATCATTCTCTATACTAAATGAAAAGAGAGACTGCTATCAAAGGTCCAAAAAACAAATATGTATACTTTTATAGACATGTGAAGTGCCAGCATCAAAGACTACAGCCGAATAAAGCTTTTTAATGCTACTTGGAGGAAAACCATAGTCCTCAATAATGTTTCCCATGTCAAATTAACATAAAACACCTCTATTTTTTCTAAATCTGAAATTAATTTTTAGTAGTTGCCAATAAACTTCTTGTATTGAGATGGAGCACAAAACAAAACGGTCGAATTCTGTTATCATTATATAATAATAATTAGTGAGCAATAAAAACGATTCCATTCACATAACAATATACAAGTTTTATTTTATAATTAACAAAGACTGACAGAAAGGCCAACAAAATAATTTTTGAACTAATATATAAATGAACTATATATTGCTGTTATCTACAATAGCAAAATATAAGGCGCATTTTATTTTGTTAAAAATTTCAAACATAAATTAATAATAAAATGACTTATACATACATACAAAGTGCAAAATATATTATTATACACTTGGGGTGTAAGTTTTGTTCTGAGAACTGATTTTCTAAATGAAGTCCATAATTCAGCATATTATTACAATCTGAAAAGAATAAAAGCACACAAATTAACAAAAGGTATAAATACAGAGAAAAAAGCTGGACGAGCGAGAGTCAGAGTCGCCCTCCTTGGGCGACTCTGACTCTCGCTTGTCCAGCTTTTGTAGCAGTGCCGAGGTACACACTCAAATAAAATGCGCAAATCCGGGTTACAGACTGTTTAATGCAAAGCACGTGGAAATTATTGTACACAAGGTGACGTGAGGTGTCGTCGAACATAGATCGCGGACTGGCGGCGGGCAGCCGCTGACTTTCTCGACTTTACGCTTTTCGCTGACGATTCTTTCCGCTGGACCTTCCGCTCTTCAGGTTCGGTAGGGTATGCGGATGGTACAGACACTCCTGGAAGAACGTCCTCGCAAGTTTGCTGCGCTTTCGAATGTTCTCGACGCGACGCACTTCGAGTGTGTACCATTTTCGACGGTGTTCGGTACATTAGATCCGGCTCGAAGGACCACTTCCGTACAAATGTGTAGGTACACAACATAAACGGCCGTATCTTGTTTTTATTCATGGGACAATAATATAATAATTCATGGGAGTATAAGGTTTAACTCCAAACCTCCACGCGTTCCCGAGATTAAGGGTCTTGTCCTAACAGACAAACGGACAACAAACACTATAAGAGTTCCGTATTTTATTTTTAGTTACGGAACCCTATAAATGTATGAATAACAGTGACACAAATCTTGGTAGTTTTAATATCTATTAACTATTTAGTTTACAGCAGAAATTAAAGTAACTACTTTATTTTACCTTAGTTACTAGATGAAACAGAAAATGTAAATAATCAGTATTTGACCCGTTCAATAGATAAAGTAAACTTGAGATTATGTTATCAGGCGACCTTTGAGTCATTTGAGTGACACTCGTGTTATGCTTTATAATAAACTCTATTAATGAGATGATATTTTATGTCACTGTTGTAACACCCGCGATTTGGTTCGTGTAAAATATCACTTACTTCCAATACATTCTTTTTTCTCATTTTGGAAGTATTATTTCCGAGGAAAAAGTAGTTTATATCTAAATAACAAAATTCATCAAAACCAGTTCATGTTGGTATACGTAAACGCGTAACAGACAGACAAAATTAATTTCGTATATATTAAAATGCTTTGATCTATACTTCTATAAATAAAAAAAAACTATATCCATTGGTCACACAATATATTGACAACGACTTCACCGATTATATCCATCTGATTTGAAAGTTTGCTAATAGAGTCCGCGCCACCACCCATGTCCGATAGACGCGGCGCCCCTGTCGTGTAATAAAATGTTGCCAGTTGAAAGAAATTTTCTCCCACATCCTATTACTACAAAACTTTTTTTATTCTACGGAAATTTAATGATGAATATCTTTTTCATTTCTCATTCTCGGAAAGTGGTGTTGTTTTGATCTGTTTGTTGGGTGGAAAATGCTACTTGCCTCCCTAGAGATGGAAAAACTCATACAAATTACTTCCCGCCTAAGGGCCGGAATGAACTTTAAAAATAGAACTACTGTCAGGTGTGAAGAGTTTTATGTAAAAAAAAATATGATGCCATGTGAGTTTCTAAACAGCCAGTGTGAACTTAGCACAAACTTCTTTGAGCGGAATAAGCCGCAACAATTACGCTGTTCCATATTTAAATTTAAAAAGTCGACATAAATTGGCGGGATACTAAACTGTTATGTATCTGTGACGGAATAAAAAAAAATCTTATAAGTAAAATAGAGCAACCTAAATTTGAATATTAAAATGAGTTTAAGCGATTCAGAAATTTAATGTTGACACCGTATTCAATTAAAGACGAGGCAAATTGTGTTATAGACAACCTTTTGCCAGAAATGTCAAAAGAGGATATATGAATACATACAATGATTTTATAAAGTTGCGAGCAGAGAAGAATATAAAATCGTTTTCCGAAAGTGTATTTCTTACATATTTTAATGGACTGTCTTCTTCACTTCTTCTTCAAACTTCGAGGGAGTATCCGCCATGGAATCCATCGTTTGATGAAATAACAGAGTCTCCTACTTTTACAGATATCCAAAACAGTCAAATTTGTAATAGTATATCAAACAGCATAAACATTCCAAATAAGAATGTAATTTTAATTTCACTAATTGTCCTAATATGGCAATTAATTTTAAATAGCCACTTCTGATTTTATTGTACCTATATATACCTATTTATGAATAAATATTTTTGATAAACAACTAGTTTTATTTTCCTCATATTCGAAATGAAAAGTACAGTGTCTAACTCGGGTAAAAGAATCAATTCCTACTCGGACTATAGCCTAAATACCTCGGGAATTAATTCTTTCCACCCTCGGTTAACAATCTACTATTGTTCTTGTACAAACAAAATTTATCAATAAAACAATATTGTCACAAAGGCTCTCGAAACGTAACCGCGAAAGTGCCAAAGATCGAATTTGCCAGATCACCGCGGGTCGCGATAGAGGTCGAGTAATGCGGCTCATTCTAAAATGAGCCTTATGCATTGCGGCGTAAGGGTGAAAGTGCAACGACATCTGCACTTGTTTACAAGTTATGCGTGTTACCTGCGTAGGTATAGGTAGGTATTTCGTACTCGCGGGTGCTAGGTAATTCTCAATTTAACAGGTACTTTCTAGAATGCGTCGATCGGCGTATATAAGCGCGATTGGCGCCGCGCAGAGACAGTTGAGTTTCAACAGCGATTTGGGAGCGAATCCAAAGGCGATCAAAGTGCAACAAAAGTATTCCAATGCGATAGTTTAGTGACTTGTATAGTGTAATACAGTGTTTAGTGAGTGTTTTGTAATTAACATTGTGTGTTAATTGTGTGAACTGAGTGGTGAATAAAGAACTGTCAAGCGTGAACTGGCATATAATTTCGAACCCGATCCCGACACGTAACAATATTATAAAGTTTCGTATAAAATGCAATGATTGTGGTCATCATGATATAATTCTTTTATACTAGATATGTCACAATCACTGTTGGCAATTCTTCTTGGGTGGAATCATGAGATTCAGTAGCACTATCACTCTCTGTTGATATTATGAATCTTTCCATTTCCACATCAGTTAGTCCGTAATTATCAAAGTTTTCATCTTCAAGATGTTTCACGTGCTTACACTGAATGCTCCAGTCTTCTGGCGTAATACTAGCAAATATCTTATGTCAATTAATTTTTTTTTTATCTTGAACTTTTCGCCGTCAGACTTGAGTGCTGGCGCGGATTCTACTTTGTTGACGGTTCATATAAAATATTAGATTATCAGAAATTTTAACTTATACTTCCACCCGATAGGTAGCGCTGCAATTGGGTTTTAGTTTCTTTTATATTTTTATCAGGCATCGCCTGTCGGGTGCGCTAGTTTATGGTTTCAACGGTACGGTAAGATTCATACTTAGTGCACAACGAGCTTCAATACAAAGCGGCGACTAGTAAGGATATGCATAAGTATACATGAATCAATGTTGAATTCGCATCGTTTTTTTTATTATTTATTTACTAGCGGACCCGACAGACGTTGTCCTGTCTACACGTCTTTGTGAATCTAAACCATTCTCAGATCCCCTTGAACACACACAAAAAATTTCATCAAAATCGGTCCAGTCGTTTAAGAGAAGTTCAGTGACATACACACTCACAGACGAATTATATATATAAAGATTTCAAAAAATACATAATCAATTTATTTTTACATTAAGAACACATCGAAAAACCACTAGAGTTTGAATGATGCGTCACAGTTCGCCGCACATCAGAATTCATCATTGTCACATAAAATATTATTTTATGTGACAATATTTGCGTGTAGGAAATGTCATTGTCAAATGTGTACTGATTTTTAGTTGTCGTTACGTACGCTATGGCGTTATTGTTCAAATGTTCATACAAAATTTGACAATGACTTTTCAGACTCGCAAACTATTCGAATTCGATAATGGTTCGGTACAGGCTTTGGGTACGGTTTGGTCAGCTGTGGTGGTGGTTAACTTACAACTGTGCTCGATAGATGGCGCTGCAGTCAAGTTTTATTTGTATCTATCTATTAAAAGTTTAAATGGTACATCTAAGATTATAAGAATAATACTCACTGCACAACGAGTCAGTATTAAGCGGCGATTGCTAAGCATTGTGTTAGAACTGGAATCCGCCCATGGGTACAGATTGGTCAGCACTGAATTGGTAATGGTCCGTGGTTGAAGAAACGGCTGGTGCGAGTCTGCTGTCCTCTTCTTCAGAGCCGAAGAAGTTCTCGATGATTTCGAACGATTTCTGGTATATGTCGAGGTTTTGATGCGATTGTAGAAACTCAATCTTGTCGAGGCCTGAAATTGTGGCGGATTTTAGACGACAAAACTTTCGGCAAAATTTCGCGTTTTAAAGTGAAACTTTTATTCATCATCATCAGCCTATTAATTTTCCCACTGCTGGGGGACAGGCCTTCCCTATGGATGGAAAGGGAGATTCAGCCATGACCCACCACGCGGGCCCAGTGCGGATTGGTGGGTGCTAACGACTGCAGATTGCAGCCGGGACCAACGGCTTAACGTGACTTCCCTAGCGCGGAGGAGCACGAGATAGTAAATTTTAGGTCACCATCCAATGACCAACCACTGCGAAAATCGCTTAACTTCAACTATCGCAGCCGAACGTGCTAACCACTTGCGCCATCGAGCCCCTCTCTTTATTTAAACTTTTATTACATCGCCACAATTTTTTTCGTTAATCTTTAGCAAATTTTTAATTGTTGTTTAAATGATAGCCCTTAACAAAACTGGCCAAGACCAGCTTGTTTACAGTAAATAACATCCAATACGAGAAAATTAAATAAAAACGAGATTTAGGATCAGATTGAAGAGTTTGCTCATTTTTTCGCAGTATAAAAGGACTCAAAATTATGAAATAATGAACAAAAACCAATGATATCCAAAAAGAATTCCATTAAATATCATTTTTAATAGGATCAAAATAATAATTGTGGCAAATCGCACGATATTAACACAGGTAAAGTTGAAATGTGTATATTTAATAGAAAATGGGCCAGATACTAGCATGATTCTCTAAACCTAAAATGAAATTCGACAATAGTGTATTCTTATCATACTCTATACGAAACGAAAAGGAGAGACTGTTGTCAAATTTAATTTTTAGTTTAGAGAATCAGGCCCAGTGTAATCATAAAACGGTTTTATGAGTGTTAAGTGGGTTTTATTAAAACCACTTACCAAAACATTCCTCGAGCAATGCTGCATACGGATTGTCACGTTGGTCAGATTGTTGTCCAGCTTTTAATATATTATCTAATCCGTTCAAGGCAACTTGAATAGTTTTAACATCAGTTAACGTTAATAAGTCACATAGCGGTGGTATACAACCTTGTTCAACCAGATACCTGCAGACATTACATTCAGTTTAATATTAAGTATTTTTTATTACTTTCTACTGTGGTAATGATAAATTTACCGCGAACTTAATTAAAGGGCAATAGGAAAGCCAAAAATTTTCATTTTAATTTTAGCCTGTAATCATCTGAAAGTACAATCATGAAGGTATCTTTCTATAAAAACACCATTAAAATCGCCTCCGGGGTAAAGGGCCAAGGGTCAGAATGTCCAGGGTGTCAAAATGACAAGGAAATAATGCCCAATTGTTAAAATGCCCAGTTGTCATAGTCAAAATCACAATGTCATAGTCACATCCAGGTGTCAAAATAACAAATTGTTAAAAAGTCAAATTGGCATAATGTCCAGTCATCAAAACATCCAATTAATAGAATGCCCAGTTGTCATAATATCCAGGTGTCAAAAACAACAAAATGAATCAGTGTAGGGTCCCGAAGCCGTTACTTCATACTAAGAAATGCACTAGGTAGCTACTGATGAAAATAATACGATCTACAAAAGTGCATCAGAAAAGAAGCGTATCTGCATGTCATTTATGGTTTTCAGTAAAATGCCTGTGAAATACGGGACTTAAGTGACCAAAAATAAAGGGTTCAGCTTTTGCCATTTTTAGTTAAGGAACCCTAAAACCATAAGTACCAAAAAAGACACTTGTTCTGGGTTGTTGTAACATCTGCCCGGCTAGCACGATCACATTTTTTCGCCGGTATAAATTTAAATTTATTTATTTTAAGACAAAAGGGTTCGCAAAGCATTCGTCCCGTGTTCTTCTATGTTTTATGTTAGACATAGATGGATTCGGTTTTCGCACTTAGTCCTTAAGTGGACCATTGTACGTGAGCCATTTATTCCCGGTGGTAGTGGCCGATTATTCCAACCAGCCCCTTCAGAAGCAAATCAGGTTCAGGAAGCAATCATCAAAATAAGGTTGAATAATGTGTTTCCATTTGTGCAGCTTATTATTATGGTCATGTCATGCTTTATATCGGCGATAAACGTGATCGTGCTGCCCGGTCAGGACATTATGACTTTTTGGTATTCAGAGTTTGTACACAATGACTAACGGTATTTATAACATCCGGACATTATGACTTCTTGGACATTCAGAGACTTGTTCATATTGAGTAACGGTAGGTACTTATAACATCTGGACATTATGACTTCTTGAACATTCTGACCCTTGGCCCAACATACCCCGGAGGGTTAAAATCGATCTCAAAGCAACATTTATGATTTTAAATACAAATTCATTTAAGGTTGTGCGGTAGAATCAGTTTGCTATCTCACTCGCACTTGTGACGATTACGTCTCGTTCCGTCCGTGCTTTTAGTTTTTAAATGGATCTAATTGAGATGGAAAAGGCGAGATAGCGGCTTACCATCGAACTCGCGATGATGCTAAGGGGTCATCTAAAATACGTCACACGTTAAGAGAGTGGGAGGGGGTCGACGAAGTGTGACAAGGGGTGGGAGAGCTCCTAAGTCTCGTGACGTCAGATTTGAAAATCTAATACTTCTGATCTATTATAAAAAAAATGTTTAGAATTTATTTTCAATATTTATCTGTATGGTTTTGATTTGATTTGTTGGCTAACTTTAGGAACAACTGTTTTAATTTAATAATTTCTAGATGCAAAATATGTGACGTCACACTAGGGAGGGGCGACTCACAAATGTGACCAACTGTGGCAAGGACAATAGGTAACAAAAACCCCGAAATTAGTGTAACTCCTCATAGGTATTATCTGAAGTTCCATAAATGATTATAACATATTACACTACAAAGCACATACTGGTGTAAATGGTAGAAACTCTGATAATTTTAGCAATAAAGACTAAATACGCACGTATTGTATAAGATGCTTACCTAATTTGGACATGAGTACCTCCACTGGTGGCATTAGTTATGGCCCATGCGGCCTCTTTCCTAGTTTTAAATTCGGCTTGTTTCAAAATTTCAATTAACGTAGGAAATATGTTGGCGTCAATGACTGTCTGTAACAGAATATGTCATTTATTGTTTTTATGGGCTAAAATGTTAACAAAGATTTATATGCATTACTTAATTGGTAGTTTAGTTCCGTTATTAAATTAGCATAAGAAAAAATATGTTATTCAGTGCTATTTATAAGCAAAATATTATTATAATCATAAAATGAGATATAAATATCGAATTAAGTTTAGTTAATTTTGTTTCATATTCTTGTTTTTCGTTATGAATATTATTTATTTTAGTCAACATCACATTTTGATATGAAATGACCGGCAAACTAATAGCTTAGAAAATTATCCCTACACCATTAGACAGTGAAATATGATTCAAGTTACATAAATTTACATCAAGCTAAAAGTGAGTAAAATTGTACTACATAATTAAAAACAAAATTTCAAAATTCCCCATCGTTCCGGTACTTGGAAAAAAATTTACTTGAGGTCAAAGGTCAAATGAGTGGGCTTTTTCGCGATTTTCATGAAAACAGTAAGTTCTACAGTAAAATTACCTTAGGCAAAAATTTAAAAATTATCTTAGTTTTTTGACAGGTATCTAAGATACCTGTCAAAAAACGACACTACGCACTAGAAGTATTTTTTTTGCATTTTTTTATGGAGCTCTGTGGCATCTTGACTCTTCAACGATCTGCGCTTGACTGTGAACCAAGAATTGCTTCTTGATTGGGACACATTTTGAGCGCACGTGGTGTATATATCTAGGTTTTTTTAATATCTTTTAAGTATGGGCATTTTGTCATTTGTTTTAAAGAGTTATGAACTGTTCAATATTTTTACCTATCACAATTCTTTCAGCTGAACAAATGACTGAAAATCAGCGCTGCTTTTGTATCGCAAAAGCGTTTACCCCAGAGCATAGCTGAGGCAGCGTCCTATTGGCCTAACCTAGTAAACAGTTCCCATGTTTTTTTATTATTTTATTATGTCTATGTTTACTATTATATAACCATTAATTTCTCTAAATTAATGCTGTGAATCAATAAAATATTTTTCGTTCTATCTTTCAGCCGATAATAAGAATGGGTGCAAAATCAGCGTTTAATTTTATTGAATGAACGAACAATGAAGTCTATAATTAAAATTACAATAAATTAAAATGATTTTGGACACGTACCTGAATCTGGTTAGCGTTGCCGGCCGTAATATTGGACAGAGTCCAGCACGCTTCTTTCCTCAACGCTTCCGTATTGGAACGTAATAGCGCATGCAAGTTGGACAAAGGATGGCAGTTTAACACCGCCTGCGTCTGCGCATCGTTTCCGGTCACTATGTTACCGACGGCGCGCAACGCGGCTGACACTACTGTGGACTTGCCGTGCCTTTTAACAAAAAACATTAGGGCTTACTGAAAGTTTCTATTGCTTATTGGCTTATTGAAAGGACTATGCTCGGCGTTTCTCTGGAGGATCGCATCAGAAATGAGGTAATCCGACAGAGATCCAGAGTTATCGACATAGCCCACCGGATTAGCAAGTTGAAGTGGCAGTGGGCTGGCCATATTTGCCAAAGAACCGATAACCGTTGGGGTAGACAAGTTCTGGAGTGGAGACCGCGTCTAGGCAAACGTAGTGTAGGAGGTGGCTGACAGGAGCGGGATGCGAGTAGCCCAAGGTCGAACTGAGTAGCGTGCAATGAGGGCTACCGTTTTCTGCCTAACCAGATGGCGCCACTGTTGAGTGAGGTCCTAAATTGTAACTTTTAAAGTTTATTAATACGCACATGAAATCAAAGGTTACATTTAGATCGTATTTTAACAAAAAATAACCATATCCTAAACTTAATAGGCCATGCCACAGTGACGCGCAGTTCCGTTTTATTCGGAAAAAATGGGAACATAATCATTTTTCTAAGTTCAAATTTTTAATAACTGACATTCATTGCCACATAACTCATATTTGCCATAATTAAACCGAATTGTTACCAATTATTCACAACATTATTTTAATTAGAAATAAACCCGCGTAGTCAACCAACAAGCAATAACATTTGACATTTCGGAGACCTTACGCTACACTAGCGCCTCTAGCGGCGGATTCATACGCGATAGCCCTCATTGGAGAGGCCTATGTCCAGCAGTGGACTAGGATAAGCTGTTGACGATGAAAGTTTCTTGTCCGCTGAAGTAGAGTCTCACCTTTTATTCAATTATTTTAAAATTAAAGGTTACAAAATATTAAAACTTGTTCGCGACAATTTTCTGTAATACAGTTTCAGGCCCACTTGCGCCAAAATTCCTAAATAAAATCTAATCGTTTTTGATTCTCACTCTATCTCTATTTAACTCTAAATAAAGTGACAAAGAATGCTGTGTTAAAGACGTTTAGTGCAGCACACTTTTTTCTTTGAGCTTCCTTATTGGAACGTAATAGCGCAAGCAAGCTGGCCAAAGGATGGCAGTTTACCGCCTGCGTCTGCGCATCGTTGCCGGGCACTATGTTAACGACGGCGCGCAACGCGGCTGACACTACTGTGGACTTGATGTGCCTTTTGGAAAAAAACATTTTAGTTTGATGGTCAATTTATTAGAGCGCAGAGTCGACGTCAATCCAAAACATAACAAAGCAAAGCCATCCCTATCTCCGCATCGTAATGGACATATTCCTTCTGAGCTGATAACTATCGGCTATCTTACTCCTGTGATAAAAAGAAGGCACTCGAATTTGCACGCATGCAATAATCAGCTCAAAAATATATGCATTACGTTGCGGAAATAAGGATGAATTTGTTATGTTAAGTTTTCGGTTGACGCTTCGATGCGCTTCACGACTCTATGGGAACGATTTTTCTTAATAATATCATTTTTCTTATATGCATATGTACACATGGTGGGTAAATATAAGATTTGTAGCTGTACGAAAATTGATAGCCAATATTTCATGCATGAATAGCTGAAAAACACAAAATTCAACATTTCTACTCACATAAGTAATTCCACGAGCCTTCTACACACACCAGCGTCGATGACAGCTTGTATCTTCTCGTTCGGCCCGTCGGATAGATAGGAGAGCGCCCAGCACGCATCGCTCAACACATCCGCATCGGTATGATGCAATAGCCTTGCTAGAACTGGAATACCTGAGTAATAATAAAAAAATTACTTATCAACAAAAAATTTAAAAATAAAATGGAATACAAACTGTGCCAAGCACTGGTTCCACGCAAACTGCGATTAAGTGGGCGGGGCGAAAACACTGCGATCAACATGCCGACCATGTGATGGATTGGGATTTCTGTTTAACATTAAATTTACCCATTTAATGGATAGCTGAATTCATTTGCAGATCTTTGATTGGTCAAAATATTTTGTCTTGTCTGTGTGCGTGCCGCGTATGTATTGAAGTTTACTTATAAGTTTGGAACCATATTTTAGCGGCCTTTGTTAGAGTAATGCTTCCATGTCATTTGTAATTCGTTGCTTATCAATTAAACACAAAGCAGAGTTTATTATTTTGACATTCATCATGAGCCTATTTAATGTCCCAGTGTTGCGGCACAGGCACTTCCTATGGATGGAAAAGGCAGACTGGGGGATAACCTAACAAGCCGCACACAGTGCGGATTAGTGGGTGCTAACGACTGCAGATGAAGCCGGGGCCAACAGCTTAATGTGCTTCCGAAGCACGGAGGAAATCAAGACAATAAGTTTTCGGTCAGCCATACAATGACCGACCATTGCGAAAGTTGCTTAACTTCCACGATCGCAGGACGAACACGCTAGTAACCACCTGGGCCATCGACTAATTAGTATCCATGAACTGAGTGAAATTCTTATTGCATTTTAATGAGACTAAATTTTCATGTTATTATATTAATTACGTGTTTTTTTTTGGTGCGTAATGTAATAGTAATATTTGTAGTTGTGCGAAAATTATTAACCAATACTTCATGCAAGTTAAAAGAACCTATGATTGTTAATATAATCAAATATAATAAATATGTGTAAAACATTTATTTTGTTAATAAATTAAATTAATGATTCCATAATATACCTACATCTACTGATAAAACTTGCCTGGTGTAACAGATTCAAAGTTTGTTGGTGGATTCTTTCCCCTACATAAGTTCGACAATGTCCACACAGCATTTCTTGTCATGGATAACCTTGTATATTTATTTAAGATCCTGAAAACAATAAGAAATATTTATATTAAAGTTACTGAAGTAATTAGTGATCAGGATATTATCATCTTTATGTACATAGGAGTAGAGAGCACAAAAAACTGAAAAAAAAAAACATATATACCTACATGATGATAAGATGTGCGTGTGCGACAACATTTCATCATGTTATATATTTTTTCAGTTTCGTGTTTACAGAGAAAGGAATGAGCCAACACTCACACAAAATTGAGAACTCTCTGGAAAGAGATAAACAGTCAATAGTCATTCTGGCATGATATCCAAATCTAAACTTAAATTTGGCAACAGTGTATCCTTGAGAGACTGGTCTTAAATTTAGTTTTAAGTTTAGAGAATCATGCCAAAATCGACATCATTATCACTTTGTCTCTTTTACATTTAGTTTTACTTTACAGTTGGTAGGGAAAGGTCAGTTCATTCTCCATTTGTAGTCTGTGGTGCTATATATGTATAGCACGGAGAGCACGAGCATGAAGTATTGGAGCACGGAGAGTCCTTTATGGATCAGATAAATGACGACACTAGTGTCAATTACGTAAACACAGTAAGCAATTTTTTGTGTCTACATTAGTGTAAACATCTAGTGTTCCGGTTCACTTGAACCGGATATTGGCTGTTTGTCGCACGTCCTGTCTCCACGGCTGCGACACGGACATCGCCACTACATCTGCAACTAACTGTCGCGGAAGTAGACACACATAGGATAGTCGATGTATACAGTGTCTAGTGTCTGGTGTCGTCGTGTATCTTATTCATTCAATCAATCAAATACTTTATTTGTGATACATGGGTTAAAAATAAAAAGTTACATGTGTTAAATTGAGCAGCCGTGATCAGCCCCATTTGGCATACAAATATAATTTGCGCAGAAAAATGCAAAATAATGTCCCTTTGTCCATTATGTAAGTATTATATTGTGTACTTTCTGTCTATCATATTTTAATTTACTTGTGTGTCTTAATGGTTTATTACAATAAAGAATAATATTATTATTAATCAATTCAATTGTAAGTATATCAAATAATTCATTGCCATAAATAATATTCAATATATAATGTAAATCTATTAAAATGTCAAATAATATTTTAAATTAATTTAAAATAAATAATAATAATGTAACAAACAGGACATCCAGACAGATAATAATTATATTTTATGAGTCAAAAAAATTCATTAAGTGAATAAAATGTATGTTCAATTAAGTATTTGAATAAAGCAATTTTTTAATTTTTTTATATCATTAGTCTCTGATATACCTTGGAAGTTTGTTAAATATTTTAGACGTCATTGTAAGTACACTCTTTCCATAAAGAGTAGTTTTAAATAGAAACTGGTTCATGGGATACAGCTTAGATTCATTATAACGTTTTCTAGTAACCACTCTAAATAATATAGGATTGTTTCGGATAAAAACAGCTATCTCAAATTTATATAAAGATGGCAAAGTAAGGAGATTTAAATTCTTGAAATACGGTTTGCAACTATCAGTCCTTTTTAAGCCACACATACCGCGAATACACTTTTTTTGACACTTGAACACTCGTTGCATTTCCCCAAAATATAATGCCGTATTGTAGCCTCGACACGCATGATAAGGAACCAATAAAGTTGGAAGGCACACTTTCTTTCCATCATATACAGACTGTATGAAGATTGAGAAAGCTATTTACAAACAAAATCTATGTGTTTGATATTTTAAAATTGTAATCTATGTGGAGGCCAAGAAATTTTGTCGATGAGGTAGGTTGAACTACTCGACCATCATGTTGTATTTGTGATTTTATACTCAAACTAGATTTCTGTTTAAAATGAATTATTGGAGTTGTATCTATGTTTATGACAAGACGGTTGTTATGGAGCCAATTAGCGATTAATGCTAAGCTGTCATTGATGTCATTTTCGTTATTAATAATTACTGTGCAATCATCTATAAATAACGTCATAGGATTAGGTGTAGAATTTTTTTAATACTTGTAATTTGAATTCTGTTGTTAATATATGATTTTAGTAGATCTAACGTGTTACCTCTAATGACATTTTAAGTTTTTTCAGAAGTATTTCATGGTCTATGTTGTCGAAAGCTTTTGACATGTCCATAAAGAGCGCAAAACTGATTTCCTTAAATCTACTCTAGGATAAATCAGGCTCAAAAACTTAGCGGCGGCAGCAACCCCGCGGCTCATACAGTGTCTCGACAGCACGGAGTCCTTCAAAGCATTTAAAGAGAGATAGGTTAATGTCATAATGACAACCTTTTAAAACTAGGTACTAAGTGTTGATTTGCGGAAAAGACTTAGAAGAAGAAAACACTAGTCTTTGGCTTTGGAAGTGATGGCGAAAGGAGGTCATCACCAGCCTATTACTGCTACTCACTCTATTATCTCTATAACTGCACATACTGCAATCAGAAGCATGAAACACCAAAACACCATAGATGTGAATGTAGGCCTCTTATCCACAAACATAGTATTCATCTGGGACGACATATAATACACCCCGAGTAAATCAAATCTCTAAGAGGCTAGAAACGTTTTGAGCTTCTTGGAAGCCAAAAGTGATAGAGATTGTCTAATCTTTAACTGAACGCCCCTCCACACTTTTATAGTATGTTTATGAATTATCGAAGCGGCACGTTCATAACTAGCCAGCGACTAAATCAAATCAATGATTATTGCTAATATGAGAGTGTTGCATCTGTAAACTGATTGTGCGTGTAAGAGTAAAACAATGGAGGGGTGTTCAGATGAAGATTACACGATCGCTACCTACTTTAACTTGAAGGATAGCCACAATAAATCTTTTAGGTCACACTGACTACAGTTCCAGTGAGACTGCAGAGCTATGGTGGTTCGTTAGTCTGGCTAAAACTCGAGAACGGCTGAATGGATTTATCTTATCCAAAAGAAAAATATATCTATATATATATATATATATATATATATATATGGTGGTTCGTTAGTCTGGCTAAAACTCGAGAACGGCTGAATGGATTTATCTTATCTTGGTCTTGAAATGTTTGTGGAGGTCTAGGGAAAATTGCGAGGAAAATAGTAAAAACGTCAATTTTATTTTCCCATATAAACTGTTCTATCTTCTTTCCTGTTAAACATTTGACGTTCGTCTCTTTTGATTCGGTAGACTTGGGTCCGTCATTTCTTTCAAAATATTTTAACCCGTACGAAGTGCGGGTCAACTAGTATGAAATTATAATTATAATACTCACTCTATTAGCGGAGGCAGCACCCCCGCAGCTAACACAATGTCTCTACAGCGCGGCGAATCGCCCGCAACGTTGCCGAGCGCCCACACCGCTTGTTCGCGAACATCGTCACCCGCGCCGCTCGCCACTAAACCAACTAGAACTCCCACAGCCCCACATTCGACCACCACTTGCGTCTGCTCTGAAGAACCTGACGCTATGTTCGTCAACGCCCATGCTGCTTCGAACTGAACAAATAATACATGAAATATTAAGACTAACATTGGGATATCACTGATTAAATAAAAATTTCAGAAATAGATTAATTTGCATATTTATAAGAAGCTTCTTTCAGAGTATGTGCATTATTTCTGTCACACCTTTTGGTGAGTCAGTACTGAATTCTGCAATAAAACTCTTATGACATTAGGCCTGATTCTGGCTTGATTTTCTAAACGTAACATTATAATTGACAACAGTACATCCTTATCATGACCTATAGATAAAAAGGCTGCTGGGAAATTTAGTTTTAAGTTTCTTTTTTGTTCAGAGATACATCAGATAATATCAGAAACAGACCCATAATCGACTTGAATATTTAAAATTGGTGAATTAGATAAAATACTTCAATGCCTTAGTAATTGAACCATATAATAAATCATTTGTCTGTGATGGATCTTATGAACTGATGCAGACCAGATTTTTTTCATTAAGACTCTAATTAGAATGCTGAAAACTAATATTAACCTTTACAATTTTAAAAGTTTAAAGTAATTACCAAATACTATTGATTCATTAGTGGCCAAAATCCAAATTAAAACATATAATGCCCAGTTCAAATTATTCTAGTTCACAGATCAAATCCAGCATAGGAACACCACAAGCTTATTATAAATCAGCTTGCTTAAATGGAGCAAGTATCCCATAGAAATGAGATCATATCAATGGTATATTTATATAAATAAACAAAAAAGAAAATACTTATTCATTAATATTTTTAAGGTTAACTAGTATATTGTATTAGTATTGGGCATAAACTATATTATTTTGTGTCTGTATTAGCCCCTGACTTTTTTTTTCATTTTAGTAAGGTATTAAAAAAAGGAAGAGAAAGATTATAAAAGAGCTCCTGTCAATCCAGTTGTTTAAAGTCACTCAGCTTTTATAATATTAATACAGCTAACTTGATTCACATGCAGTGCCGTCTTTGACCTATTGGAAGCCCTGGGCATATTAGGATAATGGGGCCCCTATAACTTTGGTTTGGTGATTTAACAGGAACTAGGGACTTTGTATTTGATCTGAGGGGGCCCCCTATTGCTCGCGGGGCCCTGGGCATTTGCCCAAAGTGCCCACTGGAAAAGACGGGTCTGTTCATGTGAAAGTTATTGCTGCCGATACAGTATGTACCCAAAAAATACTTAAGTAAATCAGTTAATTACCTGTAAAGTAGGATTTGAACTGTTAGTGAGGAATTCAACAAATTTAGGCACTATTCCAGTCCGTATCACTTCGTCTATGGGAGGATTAGGCTCTTTACTGAGAAGCTTACGGAACTTTTGTGTAGCCATCACTTGTTCTTGAGGATTATCTCCATAGAGTGCAGCCACCATAGCTGGAGTAATATCATCAGATGATGATATGTTAATATCATCCTGAAAAGTTAAAAACAAACATTAGTGATAAAATAAAAAGGATTAACATATTTGATGAAATATCATTATTGCTATCAATAAAATTTTTGAACTTGGGGGCCGTTCATTAATCAAGTGATGTATATTTTGGCATTTTTTTAATATTTAATGTACCATATCCTCGAACCCCCCCCCCCCCCCCCCCACTCCCTTTCGAGCCTCACGTGATTAATGGACAGCCCCTAGAGATTAAGCAGTTACTTACATAAAATTAATACTCTAAAGGGGATTGACTTTAATTCATAGTGTTACCTACCTTGTAATAACAGAATTTCTTATATACACTAAGCTGTTTTAGTTTAATTGAATGTTAGTGAACATGTAATGAAATTATACCTGCAATGCAATATCTGGTGCATTTGGAGCAGGAAGATTTACGTTTCTCCTTTTAAACAATTGTTGCTCCCGTTTTTGTTTGCGAAGTTGTACACCCTCCTCTTCTCGACGACGTCGGAGCTCGTCTGCACTCAGACCGACATTTTTATATCGATGTTTGTGGCCACCAGACATCTAAACCACAAATTCATTGCATTAAACATAAATTTTATGCAATCCGAATCCTAAGTCCGAAAGAGGATATTGAAGTTACTGTACCGAGTCGATGTTAAAAATCAAAAAAGAAGAGGAAAATGATACAAAATAAATATTTACACCACAATTTATTCAGGAAAGATAGATGTAAGAAACAGCAACCACGATTACATTCTCAATGATCAAAAGCGAAAACAAACAAAACAATTTCTTCCAACATAATTTTTTATTACAAAAACAAAATAAACAAGAAATGCACATTAAATTAAAATTTGACAGCAAAAAACAGCATAATGACTCGTTAAAGAAACTGATTTTTATGAACCATTACATTCAAATTACAATAATAAAAACTATTAACTTACACTTACGATTGAAAGAAAAGCGTAGAAATGAAATAAACTCTAAATTATATCAGTAGGTATCAATACTATCAATCCACCATCGAATTAGAAAATCCTATTTCATTCACAGATGATCTCAGACATTTAATATCCGGACCACCCGGACACTACAAAATATCATGTTCAACCGGACATTTTTTTATTTTGTAACATACTCCCTTTTCAAGAAAGGCAAAAGGAACTAGCCCATACAGCCTACCTTTTATTAATATTCTTCTTTTTACATTAGAATGTAGGTGTGACGAATTCTAATATTTCTTGGAGTGTTTGTCGAAATGTATAGAGTTAGCTTTATCGATCAGCTTCTGTGAAGTAGTCAACACTATATAAAGTAGTCAACACTATGTAAAGTAATAAAGTTCTCACTTCCACTTCACCGCACTAAATATATATATATTTCTCGCGCTTGTTTTCTGAGTCTGAATCTGAGTGCACTCTGGCCGTACCCGTACCCGTACCCTTAAAGTAGCCTCAAAGTAAGCACTGCAAGGTCTGTGTTATGGAATATTAGGATAACGAATAGAATACATATATATTGGTGTCGATTCTGGCACGATTCTCTAAATCTGAACTTAAATTTAACAACAGTGTATCCTTGTCATTCTCTATACAGAATGAAAAGGAGAGAATGATGTTTAATTTAGTTTTAAGTTTAGAGAATCACGCCTTAAAAGGCACCTTTACCTATATGTATATATATTTTATTTAGAAATGCATATTGAACATCAATGGCTGGAGTACAAATGCTCGTATTCATCACAATATCATCTCCCCCCACCGGGATTCGAACCTAGGAGCTCTCGAGATGGCGACACCATGAAACCCGGTGTACAAACCACTCGGGTTTGCCCTAGACAAAAGCCAAGTTAAAGTAAGTAACGTCAACCCTAGTATTAACATAACAGATAGAAGATACGTATTTTCTAAATACTTTTAAGATAAAGATACTTTTTGAAAGAAACCATATTTTTATTGGTGAAAAGAAGAGACTGTTGTCATGTTACCAATAACGAATAGCCGTGTGAAGGGCCGGTAATAGATGTTTATTATATTTTGTGTGACATGTCATATGCGTAAGCATTTAATAGTCTGTTCATGTCACTAACATCATCCTATTTCCAAATATAAGTTATGTCTTTGTTACCAGTTCATAAAATTAAAAAAAAACACCTCAATTTGTATCAGTGTCCTAATCTGTGCTAGACGCAGATCTGCGACGCAGTTGAAATAAATAGTCACACAACTTACCACATAATACAAAATTTCATCAATCGATTGTGAATCTTAAATCGAAAGCAGAGAAGCTCTAAATCACTGCGAGAAATGTTTACAGTTAGGAAACATGACCTGCGGGTTCCTAAACATGTTTTTTTTTCCTTTGTGGTAGTGTTCGGTACGATAATTATCGTACACTTAAGATAATTTCATGCCTATAATCTTAATATTATCGAACGTAGACTTTACGACAATTTTTTAATTATGATGCATTCTTATAGTTTGTCATGCCCGTCCAAGATATCATGTTTAATATGAGTAATTATTTTTTAAAATACTATAATTTTGCACAATTTTGATTTCTACGCTACTGGTACGATAGTCGCATTGCTTCAAGTTGTGAACACCAGTCTGTGGTAAATAAATGGAAGCACTGAGCAATATTTATTAGTAGAAGGTATAATAATAAACCCATTAATTTATCTTGTGCAAGTTGATTTTGAAAGTTTCATTAATTGTGCACTTGCCAGTAGCAATGTTTAGGCAATATTTATTTCGACCGCCATGGTCCGTTCTTATAATTAGAAGGAACTTGTGCAATAAAATATCGCCGGATGAAGCTAAAGGTTCTTCAATGTCTTCTTTAGCAAACCGATACAAACCTTCGGAACTACAGAAGTATATTTTGGTGTGGACAAAAAAATTCAAAAGCAGGGATGAGATCCCTAAATACGTATCGTAAGTATTGGTGTCCTACTAAAGTACTTAAATTTTATGTTTCATTGCCTCCATAAAGTCATTTTTTTATTTCAATGGTTATGCAATAGTTTACTAACTCAGACATATAATATATAGCTGCTTACTTGATGATAGCTATTGTTTTTTTCAGAGCTGATCTAATTGATCGAGCCCGAAGTGAAGCTAGAATAAAATTGGCCAATATACTAATGCTCCTAACAGCACTGGCTAGTTTTGGAGCAATTATGGCTGGAAAAGCTGCAGCTAAAAGGGGAGAATCGGTTCATCAAATGAATCTAGATTGGCATAAAAAATATCAAGAAGATTATAAGAAAAAAGAGGAAGCAGCAGCAGCTGCTTCTACTAAATAGCAACAATAGACAAAAGTTAATGTAAAGATAGAATTTTATACTATTTGCATTGCATAAATTTCCTTCATGAATATATAATATATATGTAGTAAGTGATAGATGTAAATAAAGCTTGTTGAATTTCATAATAAATTATTTCTAAAGCAGACCATTGATTTCATTAATAGTTCTTAAATACTACTTCATACAAGGGTTATGAATTCCTTCAAATAGTTGAGATCTTTGTTCAGGATGCCTAAATTATAACAAAGAAAAAAGATAAGAGTAGCTACTACTATTTATAATATATACAAATAAGTATCCCATATTGCTTGTTTTGATCAGTCTTCATAAATCTTTTGGTTTATAGAAACTTCGACATTTTTCCATAAACAATTTTGTTGTCTTTTCTTTTATAACTTCTTCAACACTTAATTCTGTCTGTAATAAACGCAGCTAAAAGAAGAATAGTAAAACATTAATATAATTAAAGTAATATGTTAATTTAAGAGGTTGGGAATAGTAATCTTTCATTTCATCATTAGCAGTGTAATAACCTTGACTGACAGATTGGTGATTGTATTTCTGCAAACTTCTAAACCAAAGCAATCAAAAGATACAGCCATTCATACCACAAATTTTCGAAACTCACATGGGAATCAAAACCTACAGGGTACTTCCCGTGAACTTAGAATCTTGAAATTTGGTACAAAGTAACGTCTTTTAGTACATAATAAGCAAAAATTGCGAAAACCGTAAATTTTTTGTTATGTCATATAATAAAAAATATTTTTTTAAATTTTTTTGGTTTGGATGGTTGCTAGTTTTTTAACACACTCATTTGGAAAATTACTTTAGTTTGATGGTTATGATAAAATGTGAATTGTGGTCCTCATGCTACAGGAACAGGGTTCCACAAGTTTGGGCATAGGTATAGATAGTTAAGGAATGAAATGAGTGATACCCTGGCATTGCAAGACTATAAGATATGGCGCGCGCTTACATACCACCTAGTCAATTATGCTTGATTGACAAGATTACCCTTTTAAATCTCAAACAAACCTTTTTTTGCTCAGTCTTCAAATTCTTTAACACATCAAAATCGTCTGGTGTGTGTTCTTTAGCAGCTTTTAGTTTTTTAACTGTTTCAGCTGTTGCAACAATACAATTTTTAATAACATTCTCCCTGTCATAATTGCCTTTTTGTATTTGGGAATACAAATCTTCACATGCAGATGTAGCATTAACCTTTTTTTGGAAAGATTCTGTTGGTAAAGATGTATTTAGGGCGTAAACAATCTTGTCATCTAAGACCCTCATCTTCTTCAGAATATCCTGTAAATATATAACAGTGATATAATAAGTTTTAGTCAAACACATGAAAGATATTACTGTCCAAGATGTAACTTATTACTTGAAATTCTAGGAAATCTGGGCAAATCATTTAGAATTAATATAGTAAATATTATAAAATTAAACCCGGCCGCTGTTGATTAATCTTTTCAGAAAAGTTAGGTTATTTTTAATTTCAAAAACAGGCAGCCACAGATTAGCAGAATATAGATAGATATAGCACAGATAACGTGAAATAGATCTTTGACACGAAAGTCTTTACGCAGTATTTAGGTTTTTAAGTATTATTATTATTTTAGATTTTTGGGGCTATGCAGTTCTTATGGCACTGTAGTCAATGCAGCCTATAAGATTTATTGTACCTCGCCACCAAGTTATCTTTTAGCCCGACAGCTTCCGAGAAGCTCAAAATGTTTCTAGCTTTTAGAGATTTGATTTCCTCAGGGCGTATTATGGCGTCCCAATGAATACTACGTTTGTGGCTGACAGGCCCACATTCACATAGAAGGTGTTTTGGTGTTTCACGCTCCTGATTTCAGTATCTGCAAACATCAGTGTCACTCAATTTCATATGATATTCAAGTGTGCACGTAAGAAGATTAAATTATTATGCATTTACCTAAGTTTACAGCAGTTTCCCAAAGAAGGACAACCTTCGGCAACGGTGGCTTGAAATTGTTCCATTTAATAGCAAATATTCAACTTATAGTTTAATTTGCATCCATCACTTCAAAAATATGTGGTATATAATATATGTTCATTAAAAAAGTAAATATCATGTTGTATATTAAGATACGTTTTTGATGTGTATGTGTAACATCTTTCCTCTCGCTTACCTGCAATTTGTGGAAGTGATTTCGTGAAATAGGATGGTAGGGTACGGCCAGAGTGCATTCAAATTCAGAGGGTACGGCCAGAGTGCACTCAGATTCAGATTCAGACTCAGAAAACAAGCGCGAGAAATATACAGTGTAGTCTAAGCAGGTTGCCTGCTGCCACTATGGCCACCCTGCTTTAACTACACTGTTTATTTCTCGCGCTTGTTTTCTGAGTCTGAATCTGAATCTGAGTGCACTCTGGCCGTACCCGAAGTGTGTAACAGGAAGTCGCGAAAGCGCGCGCTATTTGATTTGATTTTAGAACATAATGTTCAAATGGCTTATTCCTTTTGTAGTAGGTTTATTTATTTTTTTACTAATATAAGGTGAGTTTTTAAATGTATGTATGTATGTGTATCTATTTAGAGAACCATTAATAAGTACATGTTAAGGACGTAGTTTTTAATCCTTTGCTTTAAATTAAAAGATATAAAAACTATAATGTGTCAATGTGTCATTGTCAAACTGATGTTTGGACTCGAAAACTGTCTCTTTCTTTCGTAACCTCTTAAAAGAAGTCAAGATGAAGTACGTCTAAATTTTATGTTTTATCCATTTGTATTACCGTCATCATAATGAATAACTTTGAAAAGAATTTGTTTAAACATTGTGAAGTGATCATATTGTAATTTATGTGATATATTTTCAGGATCGGCCTTTGCGCTTACAGTGGTTATAAGATTTATCCCGGCCATGGGAAAACCATGGTTAAAGTTGACGGAAAGGTAAATATTGTTCAATAAATGTAATTTATTATATTAAAATACTAACACGTTGATATTTAATATCCAAGTGATTTCGAAGTCGTATCTCTATTCTAAAACTCGTCAAACTTAGCTTCACTAGGTCCATTCGACTCCTTGCCCAAACCTTATAAAATATGTTTCTCCGTGTGTTCCTAAGAGTTTCAATATTGCATTTACTCCACTATTTTTGTACTTTTCGATTACAGTAGTAACCTACTGTAATGAATTTCAAATAGGTGCATCTTGAAAATGATTCAAATTTACTCACAGGAACATAGGTTAGTTGTAAATGCATATTCATCATATATTACTTTTCTTGTTCGCTTAAACCATATTTATTGCTTGATTAGGATTTTGTTTAAAATGCCAATAAAGTGAATGTATTTTGATTTTGAGGCACACTTATTTATAAATATTTATGTTACAAGCCAAATATCAATTAATGTACTACTTATATCTTAATGTGTAAAATCCGTTTATTTTTGTGTATTCCTAGCAAAGCATTGTAGAAAAGAGTATCTATGAAATCAAGTTTAGAACAGTTTTCTTACTCTACTTCAGTATTTTTATTCTTCCTGTAAGTTTATCCCAGTTGGTCATTTACATATCCCTTGTTTTATGTGTCAATGCAGGTGGCCTTTTGTAATGTATTTATTAGGATAATCTATCTTTACAAGATGTGTTTAGGTTATATTTCAGTTAATTATAAGCTTTGCTTTGTATCCACAAGATGTGTTCAGGTTATATTTCAGTTAATTATAAGCTTTGCTTTGTATCTTCTTTTTCAGAGCTTCACATTCTTGAACTCAAAATGTGAAGCTGCCCACCTCATGAGGAGAAATCCTCGCAAAGTTACATGGACAGTGCTGTACAGGTAATTTTCTATTATTGTTTTAATTATTCATACTAAAATACTAGGCAAATTGACAAGACAAAAATTTATTTATTACACAGTATCTGCTTCATTTATTGGCATAATCTTTCTTTGATGATGCCGAAAAGACTGACTACTGCATTTAAATTTTTTATCTAGTATTTTTTATGCCAAAGGAATATAATAATTCTTTTCCTTTTTAAGGCGCAAGTTCAAGAAAGGTCAAGAAGAAGAACAAGCCAAGAAGCGCACTAGGAGGACCCAAAAGTACCAACGTGCTATTGTCGGAGCCTCTCTCAGTGACATCATGGCTAAACGTAACATGAAGCCAGAAGTGCGCAAGGCTCAAAGAGATCAGGCCATTAAGTAAGTTTTTGAAGTCAAATTCAAAGTTTTTTATATTTAAAGTTGAGAAGGGTCCTATGGGGACTTTAAATGATGTGAACTGTAAACATTGGTGGAAACTGGTATATTTATAACAAAACAGATTAATTACAGTGACATGGTGGTATATTATGAATGCGGTTGTGCCCTATGCGAAGCTGTGCGTGGAGCGTAAAAAAGTGTGTTTTTTCACGGCAGCTCGTCCCCGCAGTCGTGGTCCCTTCTCCTGCACATCTTTCGTGCGTAAGACTGGTCGGCTACAAAGTAGTTTGGAGTTTATCCAAATTGAAAATAAAATTAGTGACATTAACAGGCAACTACAATTTGTTTTTCTGAATAAAATATTCATTGTATCATAATGCTTCAATTGATGTTTTTCACAGCTAGAAAGTATTCACTACATATTTAGTATTTTATAAACCAGCTTCTGCCCATGATTACTTTAGTTAATTGAGAATCCCCTATGAACTAAACCTTTTACTGGGATAAAAAGTATCCTTTGTCTCAATCCAGGAAATAAACATTGAAGTGTGACAATGGCTGTCTCATTACATGATGATTTTGCCAATTATTGATTAACATACAAACTTTCACAGTATTATATTAGTTGGGTAAAAAAAGGTCCCAATCCCTTATTTGTATCTTTTATATAGTTTGTTGATGTTATAGATATTCTTCATATATTACAGGGCAGCAAAAGAACAGAAAAAGTCCACTAAGGCAGCAAAGAAAGCTGCTGCTCCTCCTACAAAAGCGAAGGCTGCACCTAAGGCCAAAGCAGCCAAAGTGAGTCAGAAGTCTGCGCCACGTGTTGGTGGAAAACGATAAGACCTTCTAATATAAGTCTTTAACAATATTGTTGTTTTATTGAAAAATGTCCTTTCTCAAATATATTCTGTAGGTAGAGGTAGTAATAGTGATACAAAATATTATCTTAGTTTGAAAAAGGACTGCTGCCCTTCATCCACTTGACTTGGATCCTTTACAGTGATCTATGTACACTTTTTCCTTCACCTGAGTCCATTATGCCACTCAGTTCCCAGATGATTTGGTGGAGATGTTATTTATTCTATTTGTGTAGAAGAATAACGAAAACGATATTAGATAAGAGTTTGAGCACCAAGCGCAGTTCGAAAACCAACGGGTATAAAATATCGAGATTGCATGTTTCATTACATTTTAGACTGCCCTTTCTAGCATGACCACCCAAACGGGATATGATAAAGCGATATATCGGCAATAACTGTCAGACTACATTGGATTTGACAGTAAATGCCGTTAAATCGCTTTATCATATCCCGTTTCGGTGGTCATGCTAGAGGGGCTGGGGTGCTCAAACTTGAACTGCTGGCGATATACCTCAAAATTTTTAAGACTACTTCCGATCGACTCTGGGAGGCTGCAAGTATGTGTGGTGTGGGGTTGTCGTACAAACACGATACATAACACCTACCTACCTAGGGAGGGTACCGTAGCATATACAGATATTCGTAGGTCGATCGCAATCGACCGTTTGAGCACCCCTGTTTTAGACATTTCATAAAAATGAAATATAGCCCTATATCGAGACGCGACGTCGACTCGGACAGCAATTTTTAGAAGGTAGAACAATTTAAACTAAAATTTTATATATACCACACAATAAAAAAAAGCTATACACATTCCTGGGATGATCCTGACAGGTATGTATATCGGAAAACGTTCTATTTAAATTGGTAAAACTGATGTTATAATTTATTGTTTGGAGTGTACCCGGTATACAGAGCTGAGAGGGAGACTGTTGGGGAGCTGATTCCCTGGATAGGGAATCTCCAGTTCCGATTAGATTCTTTATTAACTCGCCCATCACTCAATGAGTACATTGTTAGTAAATCAAATCAGAACAATAACGAATGTCTTTTTAAAGCTTTGCCGCCCTTCGCAGCCTGCCACCCCACAACTTAATAACTTGAGCTCCTATGGCGCCCCTGTCACCCCTAGTGGTAAAAAGTCCAAAAAAAAGGTGGTCTAAATGCGATCCATAAACATCAAAGATAAGTTTTGAGAAGACTTGCAAATAGTTTTAGTTTTGACACTGCGCCTTTTGAAAAAAGCAAAACACTTTTCACTCCTTTAATCCTGTTCGTGACCTTCGATCTTCTCATAACCTATCCTAAGTTATCCCACCCCACTCCACTGATTTAGTAGCCAAGTCCATTCTATGTAAGAGCTGTTAAATTGTGGAACTCTTTACCTTTAGATATTAAACGTGCACGGACGAGGGACTCCTAAACTCCTTTACTATTAAAATTAAGGATTATTTCCTCAAGCTGAACTCTGACTGATCTTTTTATATGTTCATTACTTTGTATTGTATTTTATAACTTCCATTACTTTCTACATTTTATTTTCCTATATTTACGTTTATTTATTTATTTTTACACTGCACAGCCCGCTGTTTCTACTATTCTTATGGTATCGTTTCATTTAGCCAAAGGTTGCCTGGTAGAGATTACTACCTTAGCAATAAGGCCGCCTTTTGTGTTTGCGTTCCTGTTTTATGTTTATTGTTTTTTTTTGTAATAGTGTAATAAAGAGTATTCATTCATTCATTCAAACAATATCAAACTATACTTGTATTAATTTTTCCCTTTTAGATTCTTACGTAATAAATATTCAACAGGAGGATGGGGCGTCGGTCTATTCTTATTTTGTCTATTTAAATTGTTATCTTTTTCTAATAGTAGGAGGAATGGGGTCAAAAACTAGCGAAAATAGTCTTACGTAATAAATGAATGGTGCCAGTGGTGAATCACTACATAGCTTGGTGGTTATCACTTCCATATGCCAAACGCAGTTAGCGAATAGGCCTACTGGCCACACGCTGTTTCAAAAAACGTGGCCTTAATATGCAAGGTATAGGAGTCGTTGATGTACGTCAGCCAAGCAGCGGCTCCACCAGCGTTATACACATTTTGTAGTATACACTTATATACTTTTATAGTGCTGCTGGCCTGACGCACCCAAAGAAAAAGAAATCTATTAAATAAAAGACTGCAGTTATTTTCTAATAAATTACAATATTTAACAACATAATTCTATAAATGGATTGTATAATATCTCATTGTTGAGGTTTACTAACTGGATACGAGATATAAATGTATTCTGGATTTAGGCATTCTTAGCAAGAGTTTCTGCCTTGGCAATAACTTCTTCGATAGGTCCTACCATGTAGAACGCAACCTCAGGCAGGTGATCATATTCTCCTTGTAGGATTTTGGAGAAGCCCTTAATGGTCTCTTCAAGTGGAACTAGTTTGCCAGCATGTCCTGTGAACACCTCAGCCACCTGGAAAGGCTGTGATAAGAACCTCTGGATCTTGCGTGCACGAGCTACAGTCAATTTATCTTCTTCAGAAAGCTCATCCATACCCAAGATAGCAATGATGTCCTGAAGAGATTTGTAGTCTTGTAGAATCTTCTGGACACCACGTGCAACATTGTAGTGCTCTGCTCCAATGATGTTAGGATCCATAATACGAGAGGTAGAATCCAAAGGATCCACAGCTGGATAGATACCCAACTCAGCAATGGCACGGGACAGCACAGTCGTGGCATCCAAGTGAGCAAATGTTGTGGCAGGGGCAGGATCAGTTAAGTCATCAGCAGGTACATAAATAGCCTGCACAGAAGTGATGGAACCCTTCTTGGTGGTTGTGATACGTTCCTGCATGGTACCCATGTCAGTGGCAAGGGTTGGCTGATAACCTACAGCTGAGGGGATACGACCCAACAAGGCTGACACTTCAGAACCAGCTTGGGTGAAACGGAAAATGTTGTCAATGAAGAGCAATACATCCTGCCCTTCCTGGTCACGGAAGTACTCAGCTACTGTCAATCCAGTAAGAGCCACACGGGCACGGGCGCCTGGGGGCTCATTCATCTGCCCATACACAAGAGCTACTTTTGAGGTCTTGTCTTTTAAGGAGATTACTCCAGACTCAATCATTTCATGATACAAGTCGTTACCTTCACGTGTGCGCTCTCCTACTCCAGCAAACACAGAGTAACCACCATGAGCCTTAGCAACATTATTGATAAGTTCCATAATCAGTACAGTTTTACCTACACCAGCACCACCAAAGAGACCAATTTTACCACCTTTGGCGTAGGGAGCCAGTAGATCGACGACCTTGATTCCAGTGACTAATATTTCTTGCTGCACAGACATTTCTACGAACTCTGGTGCTTCGGCGTGGATAGCGGCAGTCTTGTCGGTAGGAATTGGACCTCTTTCGTCAATTGGTTCACCGATTACGTTGATGATACGTCCAAGAGTTTCTGCGCCTACAGGAATGCGGATGGGTGATCCTGAGTCGAGCACGGGCTGGCCACGTACCAAACCTTCGGTACCGTCCATAGCGATCGTACGGACTGTATTTTCTCCCAAATGCTGTGCCACTTCAAGGACCAGCCGAGGAGACCGATTTTGGACCTCAAGGGCGTTGAGAATAGGCGGCAGTGCATCTTCAAATTGTACATCGACGACGGCACCGATAACTGCAACCACCTTACCTTGTCCTTTTCCTGCAGCTTTGGCAGCATAATCTCGCTTGTTCGATAAAGCTCCTGCGACTAAAGGAGTCTTGTCGGTTGTGGTGTTATTTACTACCGCCCTTGTGGCCAATCGGCCAGCTCTGCAGACGGTAGAAAACATTTTCGAAATATATATCGATCGAAATAAACTGCACAGTAGTTAACCAAAAAGTAACTTTACGTAAGAGGTAGAGGTTGCAGCACCCTCTTGAAATTGGAATCGAAAAATAATGATACCAGTTAATGCACAGTATTTACTACTACAGACAGAGCTCTTGGAAATAAAAGCAACTTTTTACTATTACATTTGTTTTTAGCATGGAAGAATCGTGTTTTGTAATTTATAATTTTTTATTCTTTGTTTTTAGTATCAAATGTAAAGATAATGAAGCAAATAGTTTTTTGCATATACGTGTAAAACTTCAAAGCTGTTTTTTTTATCTTTTTTGTTTAGGAGCTTTTGTCCGATGACATGACAGCTCCATCGAAACAAACTAACGAGGACTGAACTACTTAATTAAGAATTATAAAATGATTACATTAGATTTAGTACTTGTGTAATTTAGTGGCAGCGTTCCAATAAACTAAGTACAATGAAACTTCAGATTCGGAGAGGAGGATAAGGAGGTATTTTTGAACGTTCATTAAAATATTCTCTCCACTCTTTTTGACACTCTAATTTCAACTGAGAAAAGATTTCGGTGTTGCACGGTCTGATGTCGCACTCTATTCCGTTTGAACATGCAGAATTAGCCAATTTGTCAGCCTCCTCGTTAACCTTTATACCAATATGCGCGGGAACCCATTGCAATATCACTTTAACATTGAGTGATTTAAATTGAAATATTTGCCCGACTACACTAAAGGCTGTCGGTACACCTCTGTGTCCAGAGGCACATCGGGCTATGTGTTGTATAGCGCCCTTACTATCCGAACAGATGATTATCTTATCCCATCTTATCTCTATCTTATCTTTCAGCATATTAAAGTGCTTTACATATTGTAATGAGTTCCAGCGTCATAATACAGACATTATTCCAAACTTTAAAGCATGGTAGCTTTAAAGTTTTAGAGATGGGTTATAAAAAGACACTTTTAAAGTGGTTCATTTGTAGGTTTTAAATCTACGACTTGTGACTATTATTCTAAGATGGCAATACGGCACTTTCCGGTTCAAGACAATTTTTTTTAAAAACTCCTTTTCAATGAGGGAAATGTAAATAAACTTTTTACAGCCGTACCCTTATTCACGCGTTAAAGTTATATAAAGGAATTGCAGGTTGTTCTTTAACATGCAAATCCTCAAAATGCGTTTACGCGCAATAAATTATCATGTTTTGTTCATGGTTCTATCAAACTGAATCTAACAACCTAATTTGCGACAAGTTTCATGATCGATAAGTTTCATTATTAAATCTTAACAGTATGTGTGTCCTTGCTTGCTATTACTAATTTAAAATATGTTATAAAAAACATCAGCAAAAAAACACAGAGCAACGCTGGAAAAGTAAAATTAAGGCTGTATGAACAAATTATCTTATATCTTTGTATACTACGCAAAAAATTATAAAGTAAAATTGACATTTGACCATATGACTAAGTCTAGAAAGAGAGAGATGGAGAGAGAGACCCGCGTTCCTTGACCGATCTTCTTGTAAATAATTGTACATACGTTCCTCTGTATAATTTCATTGCAAACACTGTTGAAGAAATATAAATATTCTGTAATATCGTTGTGTATTAGATTTTAAGGTTAAATGTTCTGCATACACAAAACGCTCAGTTAAGTTTAATAGGTACCGCATGTTCTCTTTCCTTTTATTTGTTTGAAAAAAATGTTTATTTTCGTAATTTTGCTTGTAGGTATTCTTTTTCGTTTAGGTCGTCGGTTTGAAACAAGTTTGAAACGTATCAAATGTCGTTGTTTTAAGTTTGTTTTTTCTTTTCTTAAGTTTTGTATTAGGATTAAGGTATTGCATGGTATTGGTCTATGATTTATTTTTTGTGTAAATGTGTACTATAAAAAAGATATTAAATAAATATGAAATTCATATAGGATGTAATTAATTCATGATTGGACTGTCTAGTAAGAGAAAAAAATTAAATGTTTGGTGTTTAAGATGTTCAATGTGCTCGGAAAAAAGCACATAATAATAGAGTAAAACAAAAAACTAGAAAATATACCGGAAATTATCAAACTGAGGAAGTTATATTGAATTTTAATAATAAAAAGAAGAAAAATAACTAATGACGAGGCAGTATGGTCCCAGACCTTAGCCTGTCCGAAAGGACAAACGAAAAAAAAAAAAAAAAAAAATGGAGAGAGAGAGAGAGGGAAGTAAGATTGTGAGTGAATATGATTGGTTGATTGAAGTTGGTTTGGTTGAAATGTTGAGAATCGATTGATAAATAAAGTTGTTTTGTTGGTAAATTGGTAAAAGAAATAGCTGCTGAAATTTTAAATGGTTGATACCAATAATTCTATATACTGGATTACCATTTAATTGAGTTACCTTAAAATATTATTATTCCAAGACTTCGTGTTCTATGTTAATTAAACTGGATTTTTTAAACAAATTCAAGCAGTTTACAGCGTATCATAAAAAGTTCAGTTAGAGACGTTTTTGTGTGCGATACTAAAGTGGGATATATACATTATAATGTGGGACTCGGCAACGTTCCTTGGTGCGCTCACCCCCAAGTTCTATGTGGCGTTGACCGGCACTTCATCACTTATCTCAGGATTGATTCTCATATTCGAGTGGTGGTACTTTCGGAAGTATGGCACCTCATTTATTGAGCAGGTGTCTCTAGCTCACTTGGGACCTTGGTTAGGCGGTGGGGACTCTGAGGCGGGTGCGACGACAGAATGTAAAGTGTGGCGGAATCCTATGGCGTTGCTGCGCGGCGCGGAATACGGCCGATTGTGGACAGCCGCGCGTCGAGCTCCACTTACTTATTATGACATGAATCTCTCGGCTCAAGATCATCAAGCCTGGTTCTCGTGTGGTGCGGAGGTAGGTTGTACTATTTACAAAAAAAAGAAATATGAGTTGCATGCCACTGAGAAATCTTTGCCAGCGGTAGGTATGTTTAGCATCAGAGCACACACACACTGGTGTGAAATGAGACAGTATATTTTTTTCTTCTGCCCTACATCTTCAGAGTAACTAAATGTCTACACTGAAAATGTACATAAACCTAAATAGTACACAAGAAATTATTGTTATGAAAACAGATTATCCTGATAAACTATTTATTTGAAACAGCAAGTTTTGCTGAAAAGCACAACAAATAATGTTGAAATCTAAAGAGAATATTGAGAATAAAAGATCAGCAGACGGGACTCGACTCACCCTTCGCTACCAGGGCGAATGCACTGACCATTATGATGCCGCGGCCCTGATGGCAATGTCGAATTCTTTCTAGCCTTTCTTAAGCTGCAAGGTTACATGCAAAAAAAATAAAAATTATAAGAAATAATGTGTTTCTAGTTCCAGTATTCCTTGGACCACAAAGATTTGAGTGCACTGTATGCACAAAGAATTATATATTTTTCAATAAATTCATATACTGTACAATAATAATAATAATAATGCATCAACAATATTTAAAAAAAAAAATCTAAAGCAGTATACTATCAAAATTATTGTGACTAGCAATAAATTAATAGCAAGTTCTATCTTGAAAGACTTTCAAACTGTTATTTATTTTTAATCAAATAATATATGGACTATAAAAGAGATGCACAGGACACCATAAGTAAATTTAGAAAGCCTCAAGTATTTAGAGTTTAAATACAAGTTTACCTATTCTTAATATGTATATAATAACTTAGTTATGAATTTAGTGTTTTACTAGAGAATTAGTAATATGTAACTGTCTTTGTATGTGTTCAATACTGCAACTAATAAATACAAAAATATTTATTTTTTGTCTTAGTTAAATGATGCGTGTGATAAAATAAATCTATCATCATCATCATATTAATGTCCCCACAGCTGGGGCACAGGCCTTTGGATGCCTTTTGGATGGAATAGGAAGCTTGGGTCATGAGACCAAGTATAGTCCAGTGCGGATTGGTGCGAGTTAACAACTGTAGATGCAGATGGGACAAATGGCTTAACTTTCCTTCCAAAGTACAGTGGAGCTCATGATAATAAATTTTCGGTCACCCTGATCTGATCATCGGACATCTCTGATTTGACAGAAAGTAGCTTAACTTCCACAATCGCAAATCGAACGCTCTAACTGGCGCAATTGCGCCATCAAGCTAATAGATAAATATAGTTTATCCAATATCTTGTAGGGTCCAGCTGAAGAAGCGATGGCACGGGCGTGGCGGGAACGAGAGCCAGCAGCTCGCGTAGCAGCCGCACGCGCTGCTTTGGCACTGCGGCCTGACTGCGCCGCTGCGCTACTGCTGCTGGCCGAAGAGGACGCGCCCACTGTACAGGAGGTCCGCTAGTGTGTGTCTGTCAGTGATATTACATTGAGTTTCTCTTAACCACCTAATTGTTAACCCAGGGGGCAGATTGTCTAACTTTTACACTTGCGTTCCCCTTTAAAGCTAAAGAAAACATAAGCCAATGTGACATAACATTCTCTTTTCAACTATGCGAAAATGTTACACAATACGTCCCATAGTTGATCAAAGCTTAGCTGTTCTATCTGCTTTTGCCTATATACATTGCAACTTAAAAAAAAAATCTTTTTCCTAATTTCTAAGTATATGCATGGGTGGCCAACACAATTAGACGCGAACTGCTGTTAACTTACGAAATTCTGTCGAAACAGAGTGGCGGTCGCACGTGGCGCTAGGCGGCAGCGCTCAGCGTGACGTGACGCTGAAATTATTCTGCTAGCCTACAAGACAGCGAGTTCGCCTGTAGCTTGTAAACTCGCCCCGTGTCATCAAGGCTTTAAACTAGCTTTAAGTTGAGGGATTGTCGTCAGAGGCGGACGCGTGTTGAAACGAGCTTGGCGCGTCGCTGAGCCAGCGTGGCTGTAGCACGTCCCGCTAGGCCGCGGCGCTCTAGCGCAGTACGACGCTGAAACTATTCTGTTTAAGTAGCTTTAAGTAGAAATATTGTCGTTACGTGCCGTGGCGTTCGCACACGGCGCTGTGGTGACGAACTAGTGCGGCGTAACGCTGAAACCATTCTGTTAAAGTAGCTTTAAGTTGGGGAATTATCGTCATACGCAGAACGTGTATTGAACCGACTAGGCGGCGGCTCTCTAGCGCGGTGCGACGCTGCCGTTAACGAAACGAAACTATTGTTAGCACTAGCTTTAAGTTGGAGTATTGCTGTCGCAGGCGGAACGCGTGCTAAAACGAGCGTGGCGCGCCGCTGAGACAGCGTGGCGGTCGCATGCGGCGCTAGGCGGCGGCTCTCTAGCGCGGTGCGACGCTGCCGTTAACGAAACGAAACTATTGTTAGCACTAGCTTTAAGTTGAGGTATTGTTGTCGCAGGCGGAACGCGTGCTGAAACGAGCGTGGCGCGCCGCTGAGACAGCGTGGCGGTCGCACGCGGCACTAGGCGGCGTCTTTCTAGCGCGGTGCGACGCTGCCGTTAACGCAACGAAACTATTGTTAGCACTAGCTTTAAGTTGGAGTATTGCTGTCGCAGGCGGAACGCGTGCTGAAACGAGCGTGGCGCGCCGCTGAGACAGCGTGGCGGTCGCACGCGGCACTAGACGGCGGATTTCTAGCGCGGTGCGACGCTGCCGTTAAAGAAACGAAACTATTGTTAGCAGTAGCTTTAATTATAGTAATATAAGTTATTTACGGGATTGTTACCATGTAACTTGTTTTTAGCGAGTTTCCGATATTTTGGCGCTGTTACAAGCGCCATGATCAAGGAGTAACTGAAGTAATTGCGGGTAATTGTTATTGGCAGAAATATCGGTCTACTCTCCGTCGAAGTCTTTTACTGCGTTCGATACCCGTACCACTGTTCACATTCTCACTATTCACTTATATTATATGTATATTACGGTATCGGATCGCGACATGTCACTTTTTTGATTATTTCGGGTTTTACACATACAAACCACAGGACACTCGATAATTCGCTAATAACCATGTACCTTACATGGTAAAAACCCCGTAAATAACTTATATTACTATAATGTTAGTCACCATGAAAGTTTAAAACAATACACTAGCATTAAGTTGAGGTATTGTCGTCGCAGGCGGAACGCGTGCTGAAACGAGCTTGGCGCGCCGCTGAGACAGCGTGGCGGTCGCACGCGGCACTAGGCGGCGGCGCTTTAGCGCGGCGCGACGCTGCCCTCCTAGCGAATATCAAGCGACGAGCGGCAATGTGCGCCAGAAGACTCGGCCGCTTGAGAGACTCGGCCAGATTGTTCCGAGAACTAGCGCGCGACGCACCGCCTGCGTTGCACGCGCTCGCGTTACATGAAAACCTTATTGAGGTATGTATGTCGATCAATTCATAGACAGAGAGAATGGACTGTTCATTCCTTAGCCAGTTGTATGATAACTTAGAACGCTTATTACCGTCAGCTCGATCGCTTTGTCTCTTCCATACTTTTTTACCCGTTTGTAACACAATGTCGCTTTCTAGAGACTAATAAATTTTATGGAGGTATTGCAATTTCCATTTTCTATGACTATGATTCAAATTCATAAAAAAAAACAGCTTATTCTTAGTCAATTTGAAAGACAATGGACTGAGCTCAGCTGAAAATAGCAACAGTCGTTTGATTCCTCATATAAGAGTTTTGAGGTTTTCAGTTTCCGAAGCGTCCCGATTCATGGAAGTCATACATAAGCAAATGGGCAAGAGTATTTCGCAAGCAATATCTAGATGCTTTGCGTTACAGGAGCTATATTCGAAGCCAAAAACAACCACAAATCTCTCATCATTTCGGAAGTGCCTAATGTTGATTGCCGCCTCTCAAAAGCCTCTGTAGGCCGAGTAATTGAATTTAAGTACACGTCCTGTCCAGGTGTTATTGGAACAGCGTGCGTACGCCGACGTACAGGCATTACTCGCCCGTCACGATGACGCCGGAGCGCCGCGCTCGGCCACAGTGTGCTACACCGCCGCGTTACTGCGCGCCCGCCAGGCTGCCGCCGCGCCGCCGCGCTCCCCCGCCGAGATGCTCGCGTTAGAGGTGAGCGCCCGCTAGTATGGTGCTGTACAGCGTCGCTGGCTCGCCACCACGACGCCGGAGCGCCGCGCTCGGCCACAGTGTGCTACACCGCCGCGTTACTGCGCGCCCGCCAGGCTGCCGCCGCGCTCCCCCGCCGAGATGCTCGCGTTAGAGGTGAGCGCCCGCTAGTATGGTGCTGTACAGCGTCGCTGGCTCGTCACCACGACGCCGGAGCGCCGCCCTCGGCCACAGTGTGCTACACCGCCGCGTTACTGCGCGCCCGCCAGGCTGCCGCCGCGCCGCCGCGCTCCCCCGCCGAGATGCTCGCGTTAGAGGTGAGCGCCCGCTAGTATGGTGCTGTACAGCGTCGCTGGCTCGTCACCACGACGCCGGAGCGCCGCCCTCGGCCACAGTGTGCTACACCGCCGCGTTACTGCGCGCCCGCCAGGCTGCCGCCGCGCCGCCGCGCTCCCCCGCCGAGATGCTCGCGTTAGAGGTGAGCGCCCGCTAGTATGGTGCTGTACAGCGTCGCTGGCTCGTCACCACGACGCCGGAGCGCCGCCCTCGGCCACAGTGTGCTACACCGCCGCGTTACTGCGCGCCCGCCAGGCTGCCGCCGCGCTCCCCCGCCGAGATGCTCGCGTTAGAGGTGAGCGCCCGCTAGTATGGTGCTGTACAGCGTCGCTGGCTCGCCACCACGACGCCGGAGCGCCGCGCTCGGCCACAGTGTGCTACACCGCCGCGTTACTGCGCGCCCGCCAGGCTGCCGCCGCGCTCCCCCGCCGAGATGCTCGCGTTAGAGGTGAGCGCCCGCTAGTATGGTGCTATACAGCGTCGCTGGCTCGTCACCACGACGCCGGAGCGCCGCGCTCGGCCACAGTGTGCTACACCGCCGCGTTACTGCGCGCCCGCCAGGCTGCCGCCGCGCCGCCGCGCTCCCCCGCCGAGATGCTCGCGTTAGAGGTGAGCGCCCGCTAGTATGGTGCTGTACAGCGTCGCTGGCTCGCCACCACGACGCCGGAGCGCCGCGCTCGGCCACAGTGTGCTACACCGCCGCGTTACTGCGCGCCCGCCAGGCTGCCGCCGCGCCGCCGCGCTCCCCCGCCGAGATGCTCGCGTTAGAGGTGAGCGCCCGCTAGTATGGTGCTATACAGCGTCGCTGGCTCGTCACCACGACGCCGGAGCGCCGCGCTCGGCCACAGTGTGCTACACCGCCGCGTTACTGCGCGCCCGCCAGGCTGCCGCCGCGCCGCCGCGCTCCCCCGCCGAGATGCTCGCGTTAGAGGTGAGCGCCCGCTAGTATGGTGCTGTACAGCGTCGCTGGCTCGCCACCACGACGCCGGAGCGCCGCGCTCGGCCACAGTGTGCTACACCGCCGCGTTACTGCGCGCCCGCCAGGCTGCCGCCGCGCTCCCCCGCCGAGATGCTCGCGTTAGAGGTGAGCGCCCGCTAGTATGGTGCTGTACAGCGTCGCTGGCTCGTCACCACGACGCCGGAGCGCCGCGCTCGGCCACAGTGTGCTACACCGCCGCGTTACTGCGCGCCCGCCAGGCTGCCGCCGCGCCGCCGCGCTCCCCCGCCGAGATGCTCGCGTTAGAGGTGAGCGCCCGCTAGTATGGTGCTGTACAGCGTCGCTGGCTCGCCACCACGACGCCGGAGCGCCGCGCTCGGCCACAGTGTGCTACACCGCCGCGTTACTGCGCGCCCGCCAGGCTGCCGCCGCGCTCCCCCGCCGAGATGCTCGCGTTAGAGGTGAGCGCCCGCTAGTATGGTGCTGTACAGCGTCGCTGGCTCGTCACCACGACGCCGGAGCGCCGCGCTCGGCCACAGTGTGCTACACCGCCGCGTTACTGCGCGCCCGCCAGGCTGCCGCCGCGCCGCCGCGCTCCCCCGCCGAGATGCTCGCGTTAGAGGTGAGCGCCCGCTAGTATGGTGCTGTACAGCGTCGCTGGCTCGCCACCACGACGCCGGAGCGCCGCGCTCGGCCACAGTGTGCTACACCGCCGCGTTACTGCGCGCCCGCCAGGCTGCCGCCGCGCTCCCCCGCCGAGATGCTCGCGTTAGAGGTGAGCGCCCGCTAGTATGGTGCTGTACAGCGTCGCTGGCTCGTCACCACGACGCCGGAGCGCCGCGCTCGGCCACAGTGTGCTACACCGCCGCGTTACTGCGCGCCCGCCAGGCTGCCGCCGCGCTCCCCCGCCGAGATGCTCGCGTTAGAGGTGAGCGCCCGCTAGTATGGTGCTGTACAGCGTCGCTGGCTCGTCACCACGACGCCGGAGCGCCGCGCTCGGCCACAGTGTGCTACACCGCCGCGTTACTGCGCGCCCGCCAGGCTGCCGCCGCGCCGCCGCGCTCCCCCGCCGAGATGCTCGCGTTAGAGGTGAGCGCCCGCTAGTATGGTGCTGTACAGCGTCGCTGGCTCGTCACCACGACGCCGGAGCGCCGCGCTCGGCCACAGTGTGCTACACCGCCGCGTTACTGCGCGCCCGCCAGGCTGCCGCCGCGCCGCCGCGCTCCCCCGCCGAGATGCTCGCGTTAGAGGTGAGCGCCCGCTAGTATGGTGCTGTACAGCGTCGCTGGCTCGTCACCACGACGCCGGAGCGCCGCGCTCGGCCACAGTGTGCTACACCGCCGCGTTACTGCGCGCCCGCCAGGCTGCCGCCGCGCCGCCGCGCTCCCCCGCCGAGATGCTCGCGTTAGAGGTGAGCGCCCGCTAGTATGGTGCTGTACAGCGTCGCTGGCTCGTCACCACGACGCCGGAGCGCCGCGCTCGGCCACAGTGTGCTACACCGCCGCGTTACTGCGCGCCCGCCAGGCTGCCGCCGCGCCGCCGCGCTCCCCCGCCGAGATGCTCGCGTTAGAGGTGAGCGCCCGCTAGTATGGTGCTGTACAGCGTCGCTGGCTCGCCACCACGACGCCGGAGCGCCGCGCTCGGCCACAGTGTGCTACACCGCCGCGTTACTGCGCGCCCGCCAGGCTGCCGCCGCGCCGCCGCGCTCCCCCGCCGAGATGCTCGCGTTAGAGGTGAGCGCCCGCTAGTATGGTGCTGTACAGCGTCGCTGGCTCGCCACCACGACGCCGGAGCGCCGCGCTCGGCCACAGTGTGCTAGTAGTCCATATCGACTACTTCAAGGTGCCCTGTGCCCGTGTATAGCCGCTCTTACCCCTCGTTTACACCAAGGTATAATACATGTATATAACAAATTTTATACAATGTCTTATTGTTTTGTTCACGGTAATTAACGGTATTAACGGTAATTTTTTGTTCACACACATCAAAAAGAGTCTGCGATCACTTCGAAAAATAGATTGTTTTATGTGTTATAGAAGAGTTTTTTGTAATTTCTTTTTCTGATAAATAAATAAATAAATAAAAATAAAAATCTTTATTGGATAAATACCAGAATACAAATCAAAAGGGACCATGGCTCCTAAGAATATAGGATTAACCTGTGTATTAGGAGCCAGTATCTTCCAAAAAATGACACATTTACTTGGTAATTTCAGACGCGTATAAGGCAATGTTTAGTATTAGATAAGATTCTAAATTTTAAAATTAGAATTAGAACGTAAATAATAAAATAATGTCCAAGATGACACTCATTCAGAAATCTGACTTAAACAATATTATCGAAAGAAAAGCTTACTAGAAAAAAATCCACGCGGACCAGGCAGCGGACGGGACTCGAACCCGCACCCTTCGCTATCCGGGCGAATGCACTGACCATTATGCTACCACGGCCCTTTTCGCCGCGTCGAAATTTTCCTAGCCTTAAGCTGCAAGGCAGCGCCGTCTCTTCGCATTGTAGGTAATCCACAATGTCAAATGAATACTTTTTCAAGTTGTACGAGCAAGCGCGTACATTTTGCCCCGTCGGCATTTTACGCCACATGCATTTATTTAGGTTAATTATGAATCAGTTCGTCATCGGTCATTATTCGTACCACGCGTTCTCACAGTCATATCATTTTAGTTTCGTAATTATCAGTTTGTTATCAGTAATATATCATTTAAACATATCAAGACTTTCTCTTCTCTCTCTATATCATAAAAGGTGTACAAAACCCGTACATCTTTTTGGTCCTTCGTATAAGGGCCTCGCGAGTGACTCAGTGCATACGTGATTTCGGAAAACGTGACTCTGTGTCGCAAGTGAGGTGGATTTACACTGTAGTTATCGAAGAATTTTAACAACTACAACTTGGACAACTTGGACTTCTGGGATCGTGAGTAATCAGGGTCACGGTCATCAGGCGACATCCTATCCAAGTAAGGCGTATCTTTATATCTTATTTATCAACTTATATTATCAACTGAGAAGATGTCTACCATGGAAGATTTCTTACAAACTCAAGAGCAGCTCGCAGGTGCTATTGAACAAGTTTTTACTAACTTTAAGAAAGATGGTTCGGATAGAAAAACAGCTACGTACATAAAACAAAGACTTGATACTTTAGATAATTATTGGGTTGAATATCAATCGAATCATGTTAAATTATGTGGGTTTGGTGAAAAGTCTCATCATTATTTTACTTCGAAAAGGTATGAAATAGTGAAGGTTAGATTTTTGAGTATCAGGGCAACTATACAGAATTATCAACAGTCGCGTGATGAAAGTTCAAGGCCTAGCACGCCTCTTCTCAAACCAGCTACTCCGCTTAACATGCCTACCTCTTATCAAGCTATGGAGACAGCTCCTACATCTCATTCGCAAGGTATAAACAGTAGAACGGATGAAATGTTACGAAAACAAACTAGCCATTTCAAGGCCTTCGAACATACAATTTCTAATATAAATCTCTGCAACGTGTCCGAAAAATGGGAGTTCGATCATCTGCTACGTGTCATTCAAGCTCGTTGGTCGGCTATTGACGCTTTACACTGGGAGCTGGACAGTGAGTTAAATGGCAGGGAACCTGAATACGAGGCTACTTATTATAATTTCGAAAGAAAGTATAATGAAGTTATTAAGTCAATCAACCGGAAATTATGGTCAGTATTACACCGCGAACAATCCACA